TTCACGTACACACGCACACAGGTACCTCTTTAGTAACTCTCCCTCCCTCCCTCTCCCCTCCACCCCCCACATCCTTTTCAGGCCAGTCATCAAAAGCACCAACTTCCCCCCACCCGTAGTCATCTCACTCGCTGACCTCTCTCTCTCTCTCTCTGGTCCTCACACTCAAAGGAAAGTAGAGACTTAAGGAGACGAGATTCCTGTGTGTGTGTGTTTTAAGCTATGACACAATGGTGGATTCTCAAAAGGTTCTTACTTAAGAATCTTCCCATAAACTGATGACGTGAAAATGCCTATGACTCATTGGCTGACTCGCCTACTTGTTGATTCAGACTCATCGACTTACTGACTCATTAGTGTTGGGAGTCGGCTCAGGGAGGGAAACAATCGTGTTACCAGCCAAAATAACCCTCCCTCCTTCACCCATCTCTCACTCTCCCTCCGTATCTCAACCCTACCTCATAATCTTCTCCCTCCCCTTCACCACCACCACCGCCCACACCACCACCATCATCACCACCACTCTTCTTTCCTACTACCTCCTCGCCTCCACGTTTCTCCTCTCTCTCTCTCTCTCTCTCTCATATATATATCCTAACGCTACCTGGTGGGTTTAGCTTAGGTTAGTATTAGAGTGGTTAATCCCATGGTGAAATAATCTGGGGTTAATCTTTATGTAATCCGGAAGATAAATCCCCATATTTATCTTTCGTCTACGGTGGCTGAGTTGATGTAGTACTCGTCTCCTGTCCTAATTGTCACCGGGTCGAGTTAGCAAGCTGCTGAGGTGCCCCTAGTCGACCACACTGCCCTTTGTTTACCTTAGTATTCACTCTCCGTATGGCATATGGGACCCACGTTTAGTTTAGTTCATACACAGTGGTGGTGTCGGCAGCTTACCTCAGTCTTCATACTTGGTTTATATATATACTAAGTCACCCTGATATCGGTCTTAAGGGTTAGAGGGTCAAAGGTCATAACATCTTCACCCTGATATCGGTCTTGAGGGTCAAAGGTCATAACATCTTCACCCTGATATCGGTCTTAAGGGTCAAATGTCATTACATCTTCGCCCTTATATCGGTCTTAAGGGTCAAAGGTCAACCGTAACATCATCGACAAATGCAACAGGTGGTTATGAGTTGGCATCTCACCTGAGTGGATTTAGTCTCACTGTATTCCTGAAAGAACTAACGGCGGCCATGATGAAGATAACACCGCCCTGCACCTGTGGCATTTCCTACCAGGCGAGGATGTCGTGTTTAAATGTTCCTTGTACTCCACTAGTGACGTTACCCCATTCAGATTTAGTACCATTAATGCTAACTGTTTCCTGTCCTGTAACCACGCCCTAGTCCAGTTTAGAATATCTCCTCCAATTCCATGAGTCTCCACTTTACGTATTAAGTCTTTCTTGGGCTTTGCTAAAGTCGAGGTAAACCAAATTGTAATCGTGCCCGTCGTTCACTGATTCTTAAACAGTTGAAAGGAATGATAATGGATTTGTCAGACTTGAACGCCCGCCTGTGAAGCCGTGTTGGGAATCATTGATCAACTTGTGCTTCTCCGGGTGATTTCGAATTGAGTTTAAAACTATTACTTCCAGCAATTTGCCTACAATTGATGCTAAACTGATCGGACGGTATCACATTCGCTGTCCTCCAGGATTCTGGCACTACATCCGTTTTTAATATCATGTTAAACAAGTTTGTTATACTAAGTTCTTTCTTACATTCTTTTAATACTCTGGAAAATATCTCTGGGACCTGGTGAACTTATTGGGATTTAGCTTGTCTATTTGCTTACTGACATCTCTTATCTATTTTCTTCATTCTCTCTAGATAGTCGGTAACTCGGGTATCATGCTTAAATTTTCGGTGGTGAAAACTGATGAAAAATATCTGCTCAAAATATTGCTAATTTCTCCCTCGTTATCAGTTAGCTCGCCGGTGCCTTACTGTATTGATCCAGTTTTGTTATGTGTATTAAAACCTGATCTTTTTCTTCACCTAATAACCTTTGATTACGATGTTGACATTTAGTTTCTTGTGTGACCTTTGGTTAACAGTCACTCGCTGCCCCACCTCGTTGAACTTACCGGAGTTGGTGTGGGTTGTGCACTGTGTCATTTAGCACGTTGTTGTTGTTTATTACTATTATTTATATTATTATTATTGATGTTATTGTTATCGTTTTCAATATGTTTTTTCCTGTTAGTCTCTTCCTCTCTACTCAATCACGTCCTCCTGTTAACGGGTGTTGCTCAACGGGGATATCGCCTCCCCCGTTATTTGCAAGGTGGTGTTGGCTCTCTGGGTACACTTGTCTATTCATGACATGGGTTGGAATCCATCCCTCGAGAACAACAAGGAAGAATCCCAGAGAAACGTGGATATATATTTTGTTGCACCTTTTGGTCTCATTTGAGGGAAGGGTATTGTCATCACTCATGTGGGGAGGTGTTTGTGGCGGCGGAGGAGGTGTGTATGTGTCGGGAGTGAAGGACAAGGCCGGGAAAGTGGTTGGTGACTGCTCCACCACATAGCCCCTCCCTCTCCCTTCCCCCCTCCATCCCCATCTTCCCCCTCCTCCTTCCCTCGGGGTGTTGTTGTTCTGGCCAAGTGACCCAGTTCACTGTTGTTGAGATTTTTACTCTTGCGCCCGGCAGTGTGGAGGTCGTTTTATGGCCTTGCGTCTGGCAGCACTGCGGTACTCAACTCTAGTAATGGCAGGTTAGAAAGGTGTTTTGTTTGTTTGTTATTTTTGCGATTCAAATTGTGTATTTACCTCAAATTAATCGTTCACTGAAACTGTATTTCCTGTGATGTTTTATAATATCAGAAGGGTGCGGTAGGGGAGTGGATACAACATTCATATCTTGGACTGAGGGTGCCGGTTCGATCCCAAGACACGCCTAATCCACTTACCTTTACAGTTGGGTAAGTGAGGGAGACTGAGTACAGTATCTTACGTACAGAAGGCTGAGTACAGTTTCATTACGTCATACTTAAAATGGTTAATAATACTATAGCAAAAGGTTATGTTGACGTTACGATGCTGAAGGGTTGGGTGTACACAGTGGACGGGGATGGTGTACACAGTGGACGGGGTTGGTGTACACACACGATGGACGGGGTTGGTGTTCACGGTGAACGGGTTGGTGTACACAGTGGACGGGGTTGGTGTACACAGTGGACGGGAGTTGGGACGGGTTGGTACACAGTGGACGAGGTTGGTGTTCACAGTGGACGGGGTGGAGTGTTCCACGGTGGACGGGGGTTGTTCACGGTGGACGGGATTGTACACAGTGGACAGGGTTGACACAGACGGGGTGTGTACACAGTGGACGGGGATGGTGTACACAGTGGACGGGGTTGACGACTAAGCAACACCTTCTTTTAATAACGGGAAGACCTTGGTAGTTTTGCTGGGCATGAGGTGTGTGTGTCGATTTTATTATTTCCTTTTTTCCACCCTTCTTTCCTCCCTCCCTGTGTCTACTCTTTTTCTCTCCCCCCCCTTCCCTCACTCTTCCTTCCTCCCACCCTCCCTTTGTTCTCACTCCCTCTCTTTCCTCACACCCTTCTTCCCTCCCATCCTTTGTGTCTACTCCTTTCCTCACCCCCCACCCTCCCTCCCTCACCTCGTCAGTGTCTTCTCTCACCCCGTCAAGTGTCATATGGGACGATTTCACTTCCACATTTGGGGGTCACTGTGGGCGTGATGTGTGGGTGCTGTAGTGAATGTATGTTGGTGTGGGTGTGCTTAGGGATGTGAAGTATTGTCATGTTGATGTGGGCGTGAGGTGTGGCTCTGAGGCATTGTGAGAAGTAGGAGGTACAGGTAGTCAGCAATTTATATTTCAAGTACAGGTAAAGGTACAGGAGTACACTACCTGACTAACTTTCCCCAGGCAGTCAGCGGTCGGTAAGGTCGACTGATAATTATTCTTATTATGGTCAAGGGTAACAAGCTGCCGAGTCTCTCTCTCTCTCTCTCTCTCTCTCTCTCTCTCTCGGGGTTCCACAAGAAGGCAGCCCGGGACCTTATATAGGGAATGACTCATCGAATGTCTTGCGAAAGTCTAGCTGTCTAACGGGGGTGTGGAGGAGGGAGGAATGGAGACGGAAGAAGAGAGAGAAAGGGAGACAGACAGAGAGAAAGAAAGAGAGAGAAATTGTTGGCTACCCTAAAATGTTTTGGCAGTAATGTTCCCCCCACACCCGTACTGTATATGGTGGGTGTATTTGGGTGTAGAGGAGATGTAGGGGGGTATAGTTGGGTGGTAGATGGAGTGTAAGGGACTGTGGACCTTACCCATTCCCTCCCCTTCGTCTCCCTTCCCAGGTCAGGTATTTCCTTGTCACCTAATTGGGAGGTGGGAGTGGTAGTAGAGGTGGTGGTTACACACACAAAGGAGAGGAGATGAGGAGGGAAGGAGTGAGAGGGAACGAGAGGTAAAGAGAAAAGGAGAGGGAATTAGGGGGGTGTAAGAGGGAGGAGGAAAGAGATGGTTGATGAAATAGAGAGAGAGAGAGAGACGGATACATACTCAGACAGACAAACAAACTGAGAGTCATATCGTACAGTCGCCAGTCAGTTGGGCAGCACGTGACTGGCTGGCTGGCTCAAGGGGACAAGACTGTGGCTCTTAACCCAGATACACCCAGTCGACACCCGGGCCCTTAGTGTAGGTACAGTGAGTGTCTCCTGTACCCCTGTAATACCTGTAACCGTCTGTAACATACCTGTGCCTCTGTAACATAACTTTACCCCTGTACCCCTGTAATTTACTTGCCGGTGATGACGTCATAGCAGTTGATGACGTCACAGCCGTTGGTGACGCCTTTATAAACACTCAACTACATAGAAATTACTGTAGCTGTGATTAATACCTGAGATTGTCATATAAACTAATGTACCTGTAATTTATACCTAAAACTGTATGTCGTTAATGTTTGTAAACCATAATATAATGTGTTATTATTTCTCTTTTACAGAAGGCAGTGAAGGGTCCAAGTTCCGATTCAACTTCTTCCGAGGGTTCTGGCGCAGGAAGCAGTACTCCTTCGACAACAAAGTCTAGTAGTGTCCCTGAACCAACACCTCCCGACGGCGGTGAAGATGGTGCAGCAGCTCCCCCTACCCGCGCCATGAGCTGGACCAAGTCTCTCTTGTTGTCTGCCACACGAACCAAGAAGAACAAGAAGAACAAGAACAAGAAGTAGACTGATATGTTCAGTATAAGCCGATGAAATGAAACTGTCTTCTCTGTAGCTTTGTTAGTTTTGGGCTGTGTGTATGTCTGTCTGTATGGACAGGAGTATGGACGGGGAAGTAAATATTAAAGTATACCTGTAGAAGGAAATTAACTGCGACAGGTAAGGAGTCTCTCAAACGTAAACAAAATTAGAGGATTACTTTAGTTGTTTAGTTTTTCTTGTATTGTTTTCCTTGTTTAGTTTTGTCTGTCTGTAGAAGCTTTGGAACGTAAAATCTTTCTTGGTTAATTTTGTATTAGAAAATTAACCAAATGTGTGTTAGCTCTCGGCGTCGTAAACATGGAAGAAAATTTATCATTCTTCTCGATAGTCAGTTAAAAGGGTGAATCTGTCGCGGTTTTGGTATTATTTTTTATTGAAATATTTATACAGAAGCCATTAGGACCTAAAACCTACGCCGTTGGTCTTGTTAACGCAGAAGAACATTTATAGAATTGACGTCCTACCTTGATGGTCAGCTGAAGAAGTGATCAGTCATTGGTAGTCGTGGAAATTTTTATTTTTTTCCTATAAACGAAGAAATTTTTACTGTGGTCGTGAGGTAAGTGTGTTTCTGTGTATGTCGAGGAGGATTACGTAAGTTTCCCGAGAGGCCAGCGAGTGACCCTTGCTGTAGTGAAGATGTAGGCGTGAAGAGGAGAGAATTACGAAAGTTTCCTGAGAGACCAGCGAGTGACCCTTGCTGTAGTGAAGAGGAGAGAATTACGCAAGTTTCCCGGAAGGCCAGCTAGTGACCCTTGCTGTAGTGAAGAAGTAGGCGTGAAGAGAAGATTACATAAGTTTCCTGAGAGACCAGCTAGTAAACCTTGCTGTAGTGAAGATGTAGGCCTGAAGAGTCCAAGACATGGGAACCATTAGTAATCTTGTCATAACTCGTCCAAAACTTATGATGCAGCACAGGAAACAATTAACCCTCGATCATGTTAACCAAAAAATCAAAACAATATATCCCAAGGTTAATCAAAACACAAATGACAAAAACAAACGTATGTGCCATGGTCTTGGTACTTTCTTGACATCAGCCCCTTGTTTGTAATGTCCTGTTCGAGGTACTTTTATAAATATCGGAGTGCAATTGAATACAGGGACAGCGAGATCGTTTGTGAAAGATTGATCTGGCGAACACACTTCAAGCCAGTCGCCAGGTTTGCATATATTGTGCTGTGAGTCCCGTCTGTCCATGTAGCTGTTAGATTATTTCCCCAACAAGAAACAGGAAGAGTTACATTGACTATCTGCCACTCACTGAGACAGCCTCTACCTTGTCCTGTTTTTGAAATCAGGTCAGAGTTCAAGGTCACAGCATTGAATGAGTAATCACCGGCCGTGTTGACGTGGGAGTTACCTTGTGCCAGACTAGACTGTAAGGACATCACACAGTCTTCCAGTTATCCAGACAGTCTAAATTGTGCTTATCTCTTTGAGTTGTACGACACAGAGATGAACTACGTAAATCAGCCGGCCAGACACACACACACTAATAGTCATTTACCCACAGCTTTTGTAGTAACCATTAGTGAAAGCTAAATCAGACTGTACTCTCAAGTCGTACAGTCTTCTCCAAATCATCTTGTAGCTATCACTGGTCTATCAGAAACAATGGAGAGAATAGTGTAGATTTAAATCAACCCTTAATTAATAAAACAAGGCAAATGCAAAGCAAAAAATTTCTTCTATGATAAAATTTCCCACTCCTTAAATGGTTACTTAACGCATCTTCCATTTCGATAAAACCTTGATGCTAATGCGGGCTTTTCTCTTGAACGCTTGCCTTTGTTGTCTTGGGTGAAGTGACGTAGGTAAATGCGTTTTCAGGTAACTAACTAAGGGAGAAATTGATCGTACGAGTGTTGGTGAATCTTGGTCGTTAAGTTCCTGATGATTTAAGGGAAGATCTACATTTATTTGGCCTCCCTTTAAGAGTGTAGACCTGTGAATAGATGACGAGCTTATCTCACGAGGACGGTGTGTTCCTCTCTCTCCACACTGAGAGCTTTTTACAGTTCAGGACCTAGACTTAATTCCGAAGCTGGTAGATGTTGCCTCGCCCCCTCCTCCTCACCACCCCAACCTTTTCCCGTCCTTCCACCATACTCTCACCCTCCACTCAACACTACCTCCAGACCAACGCAACTTGAGAATCAAAAAGTTTCCGTCATATATTATATCCGTCGATAGTCGTGCGTACGTCGCCTTTCTTCTTTAGGACTATTCGGTCATGAAGGTTTATGTTACACTGGCATCCGTCAAAAATCGTACAAGACATTCAATCATGGTATATAAAAGCCCTATGTTGAATTGGTATCCGTCAGAGATCGTACGTCGCTTTTCTAATTACATTGACAACGGTTCCAAAAATGGCTAATGATGTAATATACGTAAAAAATCGTACGTCCCTTTTGTGTATAGGCAGGGAACACCTAACTCAAACATAGGAATTTAGAAGAGTTTATCGAAGGGGTAAATATATTAGTAGATAAAAAAAGAAAAATTATTGGAACTTGTACGTAACTTTGGTAGCTGACCGGGCCTGACACTCCCATATTTATTTTCCAGTCAGTTGAGGTTGTGTCAAAGAGATAAAGGGGGGGTTATTGTGTGTGTGAACCGCACCATTCAAAACGCTTGAGTCTGGACCGGTTGAGTAATAAATTAGATAAAATAAGATTATGAACTGTTTATACTGAATTCTGTGGTTTGTTTGGCTTGTGAGAGGAACACAGTGTATGTTTTCCTAAGTGGGGAGGTGAAGATACTGCAGGGGAGGTGAAGATACTGCAGGGGAGGTTAAAATGGTGGTTAGTTTAGAAAGATGTGTGAAATTTACACCTGGGAAGCAGACGTCATCTCCAGGTGGATTTAACCACTAGGAAGGCAAATTTTATTATATACATTTATAAAAGGACTTCAAAACCTTGTCAGAAAACTATATTCAAATTTATTATATACTGTTCAGCGTATTTTCGAAGTTTCAGGTGTACAGTGATAAGAATTTTTTGACAGGTTTTGAATAGCAATTAAAGTTACTGTATAATGTTAAATACTCTATAAAATTAGTGAAAATTTTTAATCTCATACTTATCATGACTACTGAGATCCATATATGTATAGTGTCCCATGTGTGTGTGTAAATACGTCCTTTATAATTATATGCTAATAATGTCCAGGACGAGGACAACTTCTCTTATATTAACTAGCATAAACTCTTGAGACATTCCGGTGATTTTCTTAGCTAATATGTATATATATATACCGTATATATAACTTCACATCCATAGTGATTGATCTCTCTCTCTCTCTTCTTCTACATCAGCCTTGGCTTTCGTTTTCCAGAGACAAAGAGAAAGAGAGAGACATGTTTGTTTTCTCTGTCCTGTATAGAGTCTGGACATAATTGCTGCTTAACTTTGTAACCAGAGTGGAGGAGACGAGCCTTGATCTGTTTTAATTATTTTTTTTTATTAACCCCTCCCCCCCGCTCCGTATATAATACCACTGGTCTTCATAGCCATCCAGTCATTACTCGTATTAATACAAAAACTCATTGAAAACAAAAAATCAAATCTTTAAATATTTGAACTTGTGTTAAATTTAATTGATCCTTCGTGTTTAGTTCGGCCTTAACGAACTAGAGAGAATAGTGATAGACGTGGATGTTGAAAGTTGACTTAAGCTTGAGCGTTCGAAGTTGGCATCAGCTTGTGCGTTTGAGTTGTCGTGAATCCTGCGTCTACATTAGCGTCCATTACCAACTCACTCTGGTAGGTTTTTGCGTCCGTATGTGGGACCTGCTCAGACCGTAGTGTGGGTGACTGAGAGACCGAGGTTAGATAGTGACTGGTGAGATGGATAGATTGGCCGAGATGAGATAGTGGCCTGGGTGAGATAGATATGGTAAGTCTCTGGACACTATATTTAGCCAGAGAGCCTCGCAAAGTGCAACACTGTTTTATATATGTAAAGTAATTATATCATGGCTGTGTAGACCCCTGGTGCCCGACATGAATTAAGTGTTCAGGACCCGTTTGTGGCCTCATTACCCCCTAGTCCTGCCTGGCTCGTTACTTCTGGTGGGTACTTTGTGTCCAGAAAGTGTCAAATAAGTTACTTAAGAAGTCGAAGAAGTAATTGCTGAATACACGTTCTTCATTCGAGTACAGTATAGAAACTCGTGTATGGTAGCCGGTTGTGTTTGTATCGAGTTAAAAGGTTTTCATACCACTCTTGGTGTCTTGGTTAAGTGAGCTGTACTTAAAAACTTGCTATTTTTTTAATGACAAACCTTTTCTTTGCATTTTTATTAACCTGTGAATCACTTGGCAAATAAACATTACATTAAATTACTGTTTGATTAATTATCCATTCCAAGTTCTATTTAGTCATAAAACTGCACAGAAAATTTTTCTTAACATGTTTAGTCATATTTGCGCTTGGAGACAGTCATCTGGTAAATTCTCGTGCAAACAAGAACACGTTCCGGGTAAGAGCTGTCAAGTTTTGCGACCCAAAAATGTCAATTTTTGATACCCAAGACTTAGCCTTGCACTTCTTTGCAACTTTTTTGCAACATTTGACATTTTTTGCATGGTTTTGCAACATTTTGGTACCCAAGACTATACAGTATATAGCCTTGCTACCCAAAAACGTCAGTTTTGGCACCCAAGACTATAGCCTTGCTACCCAAAAACGTCAGTTTTGGCGCCTTGCTACCCAAAAATGTCAGTTTTGGCGCCCAAGTCTACAGCCTTGCTACCTAAAGAGCGTCAGTTGTGGCACCCAAGACTATAGCCTTGCTTTTGCTACCCAAAAATGTCAGTTTTGGCACCCAAGACTATAGCCTTGCTACCCAAAAATGCCAGTTTTGGCACCCAAGTCTACAGCCTTGCTGCCCAAAAACGTCAGTTTTTTTTAAAGACTATAATACTTGCTACCCAAAAATGATTTGGCACCCCAAGTCTACAACCTTGCTACCCAAAAACCTCAGTTTTTGTACCCAAGACTACATAGCCTTACTACCCAAAACCTCCAGTTTGGCTACCCTAAAACAATCAGTTTGTGTGTACTACCAAAATCCAGTTTGGCACCCAAGAGCCTATAGCCTTGCTACCCCAAAACTGTCCGGTTTTGCTTTGAACTTATAGCCTTGCTACTAAAAACGTCAGTTTAGGCTTAAGACTATAGCCTTGCTAACCAAAAACGTCAGTTTGGCACCCAAGTCTACAGCCTTGCTACCCAAAGCAGTTTGGCACCCAAGACTATAGCCTTGCTACACAAAAGCGTAGTTTTGGCACCAAGTCTAGCCTTGCTAGCCAAAAACCTCAGTTTTGCTTTTTAAGACTATAGCCTTGCTACCCAAAACTGTCAGTTTGGCACCCAAGACTATAGCCTTGCTACCCAAAACTGTCAGTTTTGGCACCCAAGACTATAGCCTTGCTACCCAAAACTGTCAGTTTTGGCACCCAAGACTATAGCCTTGCTACCCAAAAACGTCAGTTTAGGCACCCAAGACTATAGCCTTGCTAACCAAAAACGTCAGTTTTGGCACCCAAGTCTACAGCCTTGCTACCCAAAAACCCCAGTTTTGGCACCCAAGACTATAGCCTTGCTACACAAAAACGTCAGTTTTGGCACCCAAGTCTACAGCCTTGCTAACCAAAAACCTCAGTTTTGGCACCCAAGACTATAGCCTTGCTACCCAAAAATGTCAGTTTTGGCTCCCAAGACTATAGCCTTGCTACCCAAAACTGTCAGTTTTGGCACCCAAGACTATAGCCTTGCTACCCAAAACTGTCAGTTTTGGCACCCAAGACTATAGCCTTGCTACCCAAAAACGTCAGTTTGCTTTTGAAGACTAACCTTGCTACCCAAAGAAGCAATCGTTTAGGCACCCAAGACTAGCCTTGCTACCCCAAAACTGTCAGTTTGGCACCCAAGACTTATAGCCTTGCTGCCCAAAAAATGTCAGTTATGGCACCCCAAGACTATAGCCTTGCTACACAAAAACATCGAGTTTGGCTTTTGAACTATAGCCTTGCTACCCAAAAATGTCAGTTGTGGCACCCAAGACTATAGCCTTGCTACACAAAAACGTCAGTTTTGGCACCCAAGACTATAGCCTTGCTACCCAAAAATGTCAGTTTTGGCACCCAAGACTATAGCCTTGCTACACAAAAACGTCAGTTTTGGCACCCAAGACTATAGCCTTGCTACCCAAAACTGTCAGTTTTGGCACCCAAGTCTACAGCCTTGCTACCCAAAAACCCCAGTTTTGGCACCCAAGACTATAGCCTTGCTACACAAAAACGTCAGTTTTGGCACCCAAGTCTACAGCCTTGCTACCCAAAAACCTCAGTTTTGGCACCCAAGACTATAGCCTTGCTACACAAAAACGTCAGTTTTGGCACCCAAGACTATAGCCTTGCTACCCAAAACTGTCAGTTTAGGTACCCAAGACTATAGCCTTGCTACCCAAAAATGTCAGTTTTGGCTCCCAAGACTATAGCCTTGCTACCCAAAACTGTCAGTTTTGGCACCCAAGACTATAGCCTTGCTACCCAAAACCGTCAGTTTTGGCACCCAAGACTATAGCCTTGCTACCCAAAAACGTCAGTTTAGGCACCCAAGACTATAGCCTTGCTACCCAAAAAGAAACTGGATTTTTTGTTTAAGACTATAGCCTTATACCTAAAAACGTCAGTTTTGGCACCCAAGACTATATATGCTACCCAAAAATGTCAGTTTTTGGCTCTCAAGACCTATAGCCTTGCTACCCAAAAACAGTTTGGCACCCAAGACTATATTGTGCTGCCCAAAACCCCAGTTTGGCACCCAAGACTATAGCCTTGCTGCACAAAAACGTCAGTTTGGCACCCAAGTCTACAGCCTTGCTACTAGAAACATCGGTTTTAGCAGCACCCAAGACTATGGCATACTGCCGAAAATGTCAGTTTGGCTCCCAAGACTATAGCCTTACTGCCCAAAGGCTTGTCCCGGTTTGCTTTTAAGACTATAGCCTTGCTACCCAAAACTGTCAGTTTGGCACAAGACTATATTGCTACTTAAAAACGTCAGTTTAGGCACCCCAAGACTATGGCCTTGCTGACAAAACGTCAGTTTGGCACCCAGAATCTACAGCCTTTTTAAAAACCCCAGTTTGGCACCCCAAGACTATAGCCTTGCTACACAAAACGTCAGTTTGGCACCCAAGTCTACAGCCTTGCTGCCAAAGCCTCGGTTTTGGCACCCAAGACTATAGCCTTGCTACTGAGAACGTCGGTTTGGCACCCAAGATAACAACCTTTACCCAAAATGTCAGTTTGGCTCCCAAGACTATAGCCTTGCCCCAAAGAGCGTCAGTTTTGGCACCCAAAGACTATAGCCTTGCTACCCAAAAAACGTCAATTGGGCTTTTAAGACTATAGCCTTGTACCCAAAACTGTCAGTTTACTTTTAAGACTATAGCCTTGCTACCCAAAATGTCGGTTTTGGCTTAATTCTCAGCCTTGCTACCCAAACTGTCAGTTTTAGCACCCAAGACTATGGCCTTGCTACCCAAAATGTCTTGGTTTGGCACCCAAGACTATAGCCTTGCTACCCAAAAACGTCAGTTTAGGCACCCAAGACTATAGCCTTGCTACCCAAAACTGTCAGTTTTAGCACCCAAGACTATAGCCTTGCTACCCAAAAATGTCAGTTTTGGCACCCAAGACTATAGCCTTGCTACCCAAAAATGTCAGTTTTGGCTCCCAAGACTATAGCCTTGCTACCCAAAGACGTCAGTTTTGGCACCCAAGACTATAGCCTTGCTACCCAAAACTCAGTTTTGGCACCCAAGACTATAGCCTTGCTACCCAAAAACGTCAGTTTAGGCACCCAAGACTATAGCCTTGCTACCCAAAAATGTCAGTTTTGGCACCCAAGTCTACAGCCTTGCTACCCAAAAACCCCAGTTTTGGCACCCAAGACTATAGCCTTGCTACACAAAAACGTCAGTTTTGGCACCCAAGTCTACAGCCTTGCTACCCAAAAACCTCAGTTTTGGCACCCAAGACTATATAGCAAAAGTCATAAAATACAAGGTTTATGTAGAAGACAATTATTAAGTAGTGTTTATTGGGGGGCAATGGAAGCTGTACAATACTGAGTGCCAGCAGTATGACTACTGACACAGCAGAACACCAAGCCTGGGCACATATGGGCCAATTTTGTGCCTCCGAAAACCGCAACAGTGACCTTGGGTGGTCAACGCTGCACTGGAACCTTAAGTTAAAAAATGATGCGACCAGCGATTCTGAACCAGATGTATTTTGAACAGGAATACGACCACATTGAACCTTTACCTCGGGTTCATAATCGCTGACCTTTGTGAATTGATGACAGGAATCCCCCCCCAAAACTTTTCAAAATACTTCCCTCAAAAGGTGTGGGAGTTATGATAGATCAATTCCCCCCAAATAATCAAATGAAATAAATGGCATTAACAAAACTTAATAAAGACTGAGCAAATGCACAGTAATAGATATTAGGACCCAATATTCAGTTATAGGCTAGAATAGGTTTTCTTACTAGAAAATATAGTTCGTTGGATATCAACATAAATGATACCAGTTGAAATAAGGAATGCATATCCCATTTAATCATTTCCACTTTAGATGGTTGATTGAACATTTCTTTAAAGTAACAAATTCAATTATAAAATTCAACATAGGGATCAGTGGCTAGCAAAGACTAGACACTCACACGGGTGTGTTTGAGTGTGGGAGGAACCGATTGAGAAGGTGGTGGAGAGTGAGATGTGGTTCAGGAGTAAGAAAGGTGGTGATGGGAGAGGAGGAAGCCTTAAGAAAGGAAAAGGTATTACAAGGATGAGGGGAACAGTTGAATCAACCCCCTCCCTATCACTAAATGCTTGCAATTACACACAGGCTAGCCACTTCACTATTAGCTGAAAAAATCAATCACTTATAAAGAGTGCAAGTTAATTCACAAGAAAGCTTCAATAATATGTTCATGGAAAAAATTTATTATACAAAAGTGTTTAAAACGCGAAAAGTATATCCACTTCATAGAACCCTCGCCAAAGTCAAATACATACATACATCAACACTGGTGTGACACAGGCAAGCCTCTCCCAAACAGCAGCTGTTATCCAAAAATCCAAGGGCTTACACATTATTTTATCTCTTTCTGTTTGCATTTGTTCAGATTGAGTAGCAGAGTTTAACAAGATGGAACATGTCTGGTTCATGTCACCGTCATAATTCCACTGATCAACACTGGTATATCACATGTCATCCACTGCCATGAATTTCCAAGTGAAGAAACGGTGATATTCAGATGTTCCGCCGTCACTGGAAGCAAAATATTTATAATAAAATTAATTTTTTTTTCCTTTCAAATTTAGGCAAAATAAATGTTAAAAACTATAGAAATTAAATTTAAAGATTTAAGAGGATAAGATCTCGACAATTAGCCCTTTTTCTCAATGAGGACGACTGATCAATATTCACAGTACTTTGATATATTAGAGTTGCAACATGCAGGATAATCCTCAAACCAATTCCCTCTAGGTTTGACATTCTTCAGTTTAACATTTCTTCAATAAACTCACCAATACCAAACCCATGAAAAAGGGACAAATTTACTTCATATTTACCTTCTCAAAATTCAGTATCTTTACAACTTACAGTACTGTACATACTGTATATGAATTATCACACATTTACTAAATTAGACCAAGTATTCATTAAGTGGGAATCCTCTGCAAAGAATATGGTCAATTCATTCCATTAAATTATTTTAGCTAATTTATCATCACTCACTGTAGCAAGAAAGAGACAGCTCAAAATGTCCCCTAAATCACAAAGGCACACTCACACCCCCAACATGAACAATGACTCCTGTGTCTCAGTGGAGTTGTCAAAATCCTTTGTCCATTGTGTAATATTGTCTAACACAACCATTAAGAGACTCTGGAACATGTATGTATGTATGTGTGTGAATTCCTCATGCAGTATTTTAAAACCTAGCATGCTTTCACTTCCTAGTAAACTCTCAACAAACACTTCTCCAACACCTGGGGACGATGGATGTGAGAATTAGCTGAATGGGGCTTGTCATCTTGGAATGGTTTCGGATTCTTTGTTCATTTTTCAGATTGTATAGTGCTTTAGAGTTCGAGAAGTTTTGGGTGAAAGTACTTTTGTAACCTTCATACTAATTTTCATGCCCCTGAATAGGTGGATTAAGTCTACAAAACCTTAAAAAAAATTAAGCCTGTAGCATGTCCTCAAGTGAGCACACAAACTTCCAATAGCTCACCATAAATCTAAAATAATTCGAATAAGCCAACTGAAGTAACATTTCTAACAGAATCTAAACCATGTCTCACCATGTACTAAATATTTCTTGCTATCCATAGACACCACACACCAATCTACTCTTAAAACCAACAACTGCAGTTACTTTATCAACTCCCAACCTATGCACAGTTTGTCTAGAGCTACATCTTATTTATAACCTATACAGTACATTCCTTTAAGACTTAATACTAATTACTACTTGCAGTTCTACTATTAGTCCCCCCACCTTTGCACTCATAACAATCACCTATCCAGTCACTGGGAAAACCATTATCCCATACCAAAAAGTACACACACTAACTGCCTTTTCACCTATATAAACATCCACATCCTAAACTGTTAAAATGCCTTCCACAAAACACCTTTTTCCACCACTAATCTCCTATTACAAATACAGTGATATCTCCATTGGCCAGAACAATTAGAGTAGAGCACTTCCGGGTAACAAGACAACCCTCGAACCCGGAAAAAATACATCCCATCCTGGAATTTTCCGGGTACCGAAAATTTGTTTTGGCAGGATTTTCATCTTTCAAACCCAGTAAAAACTCCATCCCCAGAATTTTTCGGGTATCGGGAAAATTTAAAATTCCTGCTATCAGAGAGTTCTGGGTTTGAGGGGTCCCGGCTAATACAGGTATACTGTATATGTACCTATTACCTACCCTATTTTAGAACACTCCCACTTGTAACTAATGTCATTATATCAACTTTTCATCTATTTATTGCCATCTTGTTCATTCACTTCATATCCCGTCTTTAACTAACTACATTCTTCCTTTCACTTTAAATCCTTCTCTACACTCCCATACAATACTGGCAACCTTGTTAAAACACCTACAGTACTGATATTTGTTGCGAGTGCTTGTGAATGTTTGCTTAACACAACCAATAGCTTCTTTTTATGACAGTTTAAAATTAAGAATACTTCCATGAAGTGGACTCTTGTTATTCAAACTACTAATACTTTTATCTTTGAATATTCCATTCCTGAATTTGGAAAATCCCTTTCCAGCAATTATCTACACACTAATTCTGTACTATTCATTTTATCCATCTACCAAAAAATATCCCTGACTATGTAACTGCTGCATTCATTTACACTACCAAAGAGGAGGCTAAAACCTTACCTCAGTAAGCCATGGAGATTAGGTAATCCCCTAGTGACTCTACAATAGATGCCACCTGGGGATGTTGAATGGGCTCTTCGAACACTGCTACCAACACTGCTTGCAAGGTTTTCATGGAGTGCATTCCGGCCTTTCCTTTCTTGCATCGGATAACCTACAAAGAAAAAACAAAAACAAAAACATTACCGAGTACCCCCAAAATAAAATACAAATACTTTCGGGGTACAGTATTATGGAATGACACGAGTAAAGCGCTTCAACTTTCAGACTACCGGTATGTTCACTCCCCAGCTTAATACTTGGGAGTTGCTAGCTTAATTTCTAGATTTGTAATTCCACAGCAGTTGGTCACCAACTTCCCTAGGTGGTTTTTCAGATTTAATATTTCAGATAACCAGAATGATCAGATACTGTACTATGAGATAAACTTCAAGCAACCTTATGATACTGTTAAACAATTGGAAAGACAGGTCTACACTTTCCCGATAGCTGCAGCAGTAAAAAATTAAATCGAAACCACATTTGATTTACCTCGTTACATGTATGAAGCCAATTGTCAAAATAAATTATTTGAGTCACATGGTCAAACTTGCCCAACTGTTGTAACTACTGTAACTGTTTCATACAGAACTTTTAATAGAAATGTAAAAAAAAAATATGTGATTAAATGCAACTATTGTTCACTCAACCCAGTCTTGTCTTCATGGTGGACAATAATAAACCCCATTTATTTTAATTAAATCTTACTGAAGATTTGTCCAAGGTTCATTTATTATAATATTTGAAAGACCAGCAGACCATCTGACCGAAAAAACACGTCACAAATGTACGAGTTGCAGAAAATGGTGGAAGGCTTACTTAAGTGGGGAGATGTCCCAATCCACCTATAGATTATGGTAGTTATGCCAAGGCAGTACAGGTCTCACACTATGCAGGGAAGAGCAACAAAACTCTTGCCTAGAAATACTTAAGATTCCATCAACATTATAAAAAACTGCTGTAGAATACACATGTATGTCAAGGACTAGCAAGATGCCAGGATTGTATAAAGAACAAGCAATTGTCAATCGAGATAAAAATGAACAGTAATTACTAAATGTCCGAGTTTTCAACTAAGCAGAGCAAACTGGATTACTGTACTACAAACTATATTGTGCAGCAGCTTATCTGAACAGGTAGCCAAGTGACAAACTCCGACATATAAAGAGCATTGTACTGTACAGTGTAGTCTCGATTTACGCAGAGATGGTTTACTCATTTGGTCATTTACACGGCACCTTGCAGAATGAAAATTTTAAGTTATGCGGTTCATTCCATCATTTACGTGGGAAACGGCGCCTGGAGGGTGCACATTAGGTCGCTCTTACGTTATCGCTGACGTCATATGATGTATAGAACTGTGATTGGGCCACCCATCCTTACCTCCCTCTGCCACTAGCTGTGATTGGTCTAATGTAACATGAAGTGCCCTGCCACCAGAGGGAAGAAGTTGCTGACCTAGCCAGGCCAGTCTCATTGTTCTCAGTCTCTGTGTATACTGTTCTCTCGTGCCCGCTATTCCCCTCACAACGGCTTCTGCTGGACCCCCACCACCCCATAGAAACCTTAAACTACCTGGACCAAGCCATGGTTATGTGAAGGAAGTCATCAAGTTGGCAGAGAAAATAAAGCTCATCCTTGACAAAGACACAGTCAAGCATTGGTATGAAGTGTCTAATAACCTATTGTCAAAATTTATGGAGCCTTATGTCCAGATGTATGGCGACATCAATGCTAGTCGTCAACGTAGTATTACGGACTTCTTCGCCTGCAACCCACCACAACCACAGCCAGCCCAAGTCAGTGATAGCGAGGATATGGACTTTGAGGGGTTTGTCAGGGAGGTCCTGCAAACCTCTGTGATTAGTGATAGTGATTCACCGGAGGTCCACTAATTTGCCCTCTGCCTCGGAACCAGCCGCCATCCCCGTGTGCCGACCCATCTCTTCTACTAGCGTAAGTGTTAAACACCTTTATATTTGTACAGTAGTGTAGTTTTTTATTTAGATATTATGTATGTGTCAATAACATCATAAAATTATGGTGTTATTTTTACTACAAGGTACGTATTGTGTCGGAAAAAGTGGAGTTTGGGAGTCGGCCCAGTCTCTATTTCAATTAATCCCTTATGTTCTGTTATGTATTTCGTTTACGCGTTTCTCGTTTTACTCGGACCTCCACGGGTTCAATTGACCGCGTAAATGGAGACAATACTGTACAAGGTGTTTTACTGTATAGAATAGCAGCCACTATCAATAGCCCATCCAGATAATGATTTAATCAGTGATGATATTGGAACAAAACCCATCAGCATTATACAATAATAAACAAAAACACCGATGACTTCTTGATAGACATACACCATTGCCATAACTTATCAAACCTATTTTTTGTTCTGACTTTTTTCAATTTGAAAATTTCTCAATTTCTTTTAATGTTTTGCATTTTTTGTATTTTAAACATCAAACTATGGCTAAGGAATTTTAAACCCACAATTCTTAAGTAAAACGTTACAATAAAAGGTGCCTGTTTGTCAATTTAATTCCAACCATGAATTCCGACACATTTAAGTATTATACGATACAATAGTTTACACAAGCGTAAATGGGAAAAACTGCCTATTTCATACAGCACTGACCCCCTAGGAATGAATTCCAGCCATCAAAAATCTACTTAACTTTTATAAATTTGTCATACACATTTGCCAGTCTAAATCCTTGATACAATTTAAAGATGCATATCTAAATTCCCAACTAAAGTACTGTACCACATCCACCAATTACCATTAATTTCAAAAGATATTCAAAGTTATCAAAAAGGCCTGGTATCCAGGACACCAGGAGTAACCATATCATATATTGTACAGTACTGCACTGTACCATAACAGTCTGGAATGAGTACAGGTACTGTACTGTATTTACTGTATATGATTATTCCTTTAAATTTAACAACAGTTATGCATACAACCCAAGTCTTGGACGAGCTAGATGTATTTAACTTCAACTTGACATTTCAAACAAGTTTAACAAGGGTTTGTTTAATACATTTCTAAAGCTGACAAAGTATTATACTGTAATGTATCAAGTACATAAAGGGCAAGTCATTCACATCATATCCTGGTCAACGAGACTTCTCCCCCACCATCTCACCATAACATTTTTCATCCATCGGCATAAATTTCTATAAAGTCCAAACAATTTCAAACAAATCCCCAACCATAAGCTAGCTACAAGATGAACTTGTATTTTTAACAATTTGCGCAGACTTTCTCCAGTCAAAACATATACCCATTAACTCGTCTACACAGTACAGTACTAAATAAACTAATGTATTTTGAAAACACTGCCATCTTCTAACCGTATCTACCAATAATATACTATAAAAGAAAGCTATATACTGTACTACTAAATCCAATATCATCCAATGTTTAATCTCAGCGCAGCCACTTCTCTGTATGGAAAGCCAGGTTCATTCACTTTTATTTTATCTCATGAATATGCTAAAATGACAATTTTGCTAGCCTTTCAGTCCCTTGGGTGTATGAATTAATGAAGGGCAACTGTACTCAGGATTTAAATTTTTCCCCAACATAGCCACTTCTCCCAGTTTTATATAGGATACAATCCTAGCAGAAATCCAGGGGAACTTCGGCAATAACATACCCGAAAGAAAATGGTTAGAGTGCTGTTTATAATCCAAAAAAACCCTCCCAACTTTAACAATTGCTGTGTGGACAATTATTGTAGGCTATGCAGTCAATGTACAGCTTTGTGACACCCAAAACCAATTCCATCACTGACGACAACCACCAACTCGGAGTGCAAGTGACTCCCTAGGTAACCAGGTCTTTCCACATTCAGATTTTAGTAAAACAGAACTCATCAATATTTTCCTTGGTAAGGGTAGGCGACAGCAGGTTACGTCTTGATGCAATAGTTAGAGCTACTGTACATGAATGAATGATGGGGAACTCATCAATTTGAGGAATAACTGAGGTGAAGAGAAAAGACAGCAAACAAAAGATTGTGGGAAACAGGAGCAATAAAGATGATGTATGACGACAAGGATGAAGATTAAAATATTGCAAAATCATTACAATAATAGTTATTTACAAATGAGAATTCAATACTATAGAGGGAACTAACATACCATTTTGCTGTTGTGAGAATCAGCTAATGGCCCTGTTTGCCAATTCAGTAATCTGTTCTAAGTTTAAATTCATTTCCAATGGATTAAATATTTAATTTCAGCTTTGTAATATTTTTTTATGTTTCATAATAAATTTTTTAGTCATTTTAACATTTATTTACCATATTGATAATATATGCAGTACAGGGAACTAGTTTGTTGTGTGCCCATCAGATGTGTTGGTTGGCCACCAGATGTCAGTCTGGCTTTGTTTACTGTTGAGAGAGCACCTATTTTCTTAGTGTCTTGAATAATTTTGCATTTTTCATTGAAATTATTGGTCATTCTGAACTTTAGTTCACATTGATAATATATAGCACAGTGCAGTGTTGATTTAAAGAAAATAATATTGAATTACACCAAGTGAACATAAAATTTAGTTGTGAAATGAGGCAGGAGTCCAAAGAAAGTGATTTTTCTCCATACCACTTCCTTCTTTTCTCCCTTCTCCTCCTCCACCACACTTCTAATTCCCATCATCATCAAACAGGAGCTTTCTACAGACACCTCAAAGTAAGTGTAATTTATTGCATTTATTTTTTTTACTTTACATACAGTAGTGAACAGAAGTCCTGTCGCCCCTTGCACTGTTCAGCGAACCAAGAGATTCAGACTCACGAAGCAGTAGACACTGGTGCATTATTCTGCCCATAAATGCTTCGGATTCATGAGTCTGAATCTAAGGGTTCGTGGAGCAGCAGAAGGGGTGACAGGACTTCTGTTTACGATTGTACATATGATGAGCTGGAACCAATTACCCAATATCCCATTGAAACAATGGATTCGGTTAACGAACGACCTTCTGGAACGAATTGTGTTTGTTAACCGAGGGACCACTGTAGTATGTTTATGGACTTTTATCATTCAAAATACCTAATTTAACACATTTTCCGAACACAACGTGAAAGTTACACCAGTACTACTGGTCACGATACTCAAAACAACCACCTTAAGTTCCATACACACCCACAACCAAAAGGTAACGGTGTAATGAACTGAAAAACTTCAAATCTGGAAGATCAGCAATTATTGTCCAGTCACTGGATTTAATACTACTTAAGTCTCTATGCAAATTTTATGCCCATAACTGTTTATCGGGGCCAGACTCGAAAGTTACAATACTACAGTACCTGCACTGAATAAATTAATTTTTGGATATTTCTATGAAGTAATTTTAGTTATAGGCCTATATCCAGTAGTTAACATTTAAACAAACCAATATCTTTAACAGACATTTGGGAGGGAACTAAAAATTCAAGTGATTCAGCAACATTATCGGCAAGTGTACCGGGGTAATTAAATTAAATATGGTCATGCAGTTAAACAACTTGGCATTAAACGAGTAAGTTAAATGCCTCATTTTAAGAAATACGAAGAACAAAACTTTTGAGGTTTGCTACAGAAGTCTAAATTAGCCAAGCTGATTTAAACTAACCACAGTACAAAGTTTAAAAAGAAAACTGACACTCCACAATGAAGTGCAGAGAAGAATGCACCTCAAAGCAAAAAAAAATAAAAATTCTGGCTTAAACTTGGAAGTCTACCCAACAGCAAGTGACATTTCTATTGAACTCATGTGACCAGTTTGATAGACAACCAGACATGCACACTAAGGCCAACTAATGCAATGTAAACTTGGAAAAAAATTCCAATGCCATATTAAAGAAGTTAATGCTAATGCCATTACACTGACCAATTAAAACTCAAACGGCAAGCACAAGAGATAACCCATTTCAATACTGAAGACTGATGCAATACGTACTGTGCATTATGCAACAACCAAATACCTTGCACTTTACCACTAATTAAGATCATGTGCAGATTGTAAACTGGTTTGTGGAGTACAACTACAGATGAATTTATTTATTTATATTTTTTTATTACCATATAGTGAAAAAACTACCTTCGGACATTGACTTTTTAAAACTATGTATAGTATTTTTTTTTTCGTTGGCCACTTCAAGGACATCGAGTATCCATGTAGGCCTCGAGTTCCTCGCAACCAATCTGGTTAGACAGAACATAACTGGATTACAGGGAACCAGTTAAGTTTGATGAACAAGCTAAATTGGTGCAAATGACCATCCATTTGGTGAATACAGTACAGTACCATAAATCTTTACCCCTAAATGGATCTTCACTAAGAATTTATGAATTACAATTCCATGCTGGTTTTTAACATGCAAGTCAGTTGAAGTCACTACTGTATAGGGGAAAATTTTTACTGAGGGTTACTTCAGCTCTACAGCTCCTTAGACAGTAACTTACCCAGTAGCCGATTTACAGCGTGCTTACTGAAATTTACACCACCAGTACTTCATTTAAATACAACCAATTACTAACATGCTAAGCAGAATTCCACTCTGTTGGCTGCCATCACCAAAATTTCTGGTAAACTAACCAATAACAGCATGCTATCACATGCTATCAGTTACCCAACTTACACCTGCGACACTTAAGAACACTGCAAATTCAAAACTACACAACCCAAATGTCCCCTTTTACCATAAACCAGAAACTGAACTCGCCAACCCTGCTGATTTATCCTCAAATTTTGGCATTAGCTACACAATTCGGGATGGTAGGGATTTCTCAAATTTCAAGTAAGTTTTCTTGGGTAGAGTAAATTTCTTGAAACAATTTTTCCAATTTTGCAGTCATAAGTGAACTACTGTATGCCCAAACAATACACTGTTCAGTCCAAGCTTGCAACCGAGTCAAATAAAAGGATGCCCATGATTCGTCAAAGCCATGAGTGCCATCAGTAGCTATGGAAGTGCTCCACTTATCACTGTTTTTGACCCATTTTTTTTACGAGGTCGAGGATTTTGGTCCATGAAAATTTTAAGAACTCACACAGTACAGTAGTGTCACTTCATGGGAAATTATGTCATTAGGCAAATTTATTGATACTTCTTATAAATGGCTTGACCATTGGAGTTTCTTCAAATGTGCACAGAAATTAATTCAAATGCGTAAACACTGGCAAACTGCCAGGCAAAAGAGAAACACTGTACTGTACACTACATTTGAAAGCAAATTTTGCTCGACATAAGTTGTACTGTCACAAGTACTGTATTCCTCTGATGCCTGCACTAACACCATCACTCAACCTTTTTAAGGCAATACAGTATGAATTACTGTACCCTGATTTAATCTTCCCTAGTTTCAACTTCTGTGCACTAAACATCACTTCATCTTACCTTGTCGGTGCCCGAGAGGTAGAAGAACTTTTCACCACCTATATGAACTCCTGTCATTGCCAGATTGCTTTGGTCTGAAAAACTAGTAGACAGCTTAACTAGCTCTTCCCGAGTAGGCTGTAAAGAAAAGAAAAAAACGTAAGGTTAGTGATTTAGTAACTGACAAGAAATTATTACACTACCCTAGAAAAAAAAAGTACAGTAGTAGGAGCAATTAAAGAAAACTTCAAGACAAATGCTATCGAATGACCATCACAGGCACTTTTCCCTTCAACTTCTGATACAGAAAAATTAACTAACCCTCGATTATGCTGTTCAGTTCTGATGCCCCTATTATAGAATGGACATAAATTCACTAGTCGGTGCAGCGAAGAATGACAAAAATGATTCCGGGACTTAGAAACCTTCCATATCAGGATAGGCTTAAGAAACTTAACTTGCATTCCCTAGAAAGACGAAGAGTGCGGGGAGATATGATAGAAGTATTTAAGTGGGTGAAAGGAATCAATAAAGGGGATATAGATAAAGTTCTTATAATATCCGAGCAGGATAGGACTCCGAGCAACGGATTCAAGTTGGATAAGTTTAGGTTAAGGAGGGAGATAAGAAGAAACTGGTTCACAAATAGGGTGGTGGACGAGTGGAACAAGCTTAGCAACTTGGCAGTAAGTGCGGGAACTCTGGAAAGTTTCAAAAGTGGTAGTAACTCTCGACAGGAGCTGCCATGCACAGGCCAACCGGCCTATTGCAGACTCCTTATTTTCTTAATGAAATACCCAAGTTCAAACGTAGAAAGTTTCAATAGGGTTGTTTGGTTGTGATTTGACAAACTGAAGTGTCACAAAAACGGCTCTATATAAAAACAAACTGAAGCTACTGTATCAACTTAACTTCTTGTCTTAATGCTAGAAATGTATTAGTGGGTGTTGCACAATACAGTAAATTTGTATGTGGTACCAGAAGTGCTATTGTGAATGAACCCAGACTCCACTTAGTATGCAAACTAAATTGTCAAGCAAAATTATATTCACTGTGCATTTTCCTCATCCAATTTGTATTCTTCATATGCAGAGTGCGTGTGTACTTGCTATTCTTATTTGAGGTTTCAGCCACTTGCCGAGGTTCGTTCCTCGAGTCTAACCTCTGCAAGTGGGAACCAGATAATACTGCACAGGCAAGAAAATACTTCCGAGTCATTAATTAAGAATCTGGTGCATGTTTATAAATACTTGTGCATATGGAAATCAATTTAATGCCCTAGTTAGTATACTGTACTCCCATTTATCTATTCCAATTTCCAGCTTTTGCTTCAATCTTCAGGGTGTGACTTGGGCAGAAAGAATTTAATTATACTAGTAATTTGCATTCTCTGATGTAGACTTTATAAAAAGGGCTTAAAGTGAATTAGCCTACAAGCATGCAGTAGCCCTAACAACAATGCCCTTCTAATGCTTTACCTTTCAAAGTGACATCAACGAATCTATTAAATGAAGGTAAAATTTATGTAAGGGTTACAGTATTGTACGGTAGTCAAATTTCTATCTGGTCTTTGTTTACTCCTGAAAGGTACTACCCAAACACAGTTGACATTTATAAATTTCTCCAAATTATACAGTACAGTATTTAGTTTCCAAATACGTTGTAAATTTTTGCACGATTAAGCGAATATGTCTAAAGATTCAGAACTATGTTGCACTTGTGCCAATAGTAAGCACCTGGAAGAATAAAGATAAATGGAAATGAGGGCACTTTAACTTTTACTTAGCTTTACCAAACAAAAAAAATGGAAACAAATACCCCACTAGAGGACTCATGGCCTAGTTCCTCTCAAACCTGAAAGTTTACATTGCATAATCCAAAGACATTTACAAGACCTTCACACCTCACTGATTCAACCCTCGTCAAACAATCTACTACTACCCCACCTTTACAGCATTAATCTTCTTCATCTTTTGTACAAGTTATGCTTCCAAGCTTGTAACACCTCACCTAATCCTGTAATATATTGTAATTCCTAAAAGATGTTAACTTACATTACTTTATTATTAATTGTGTATGGGAAGCATTTTAGTTGTATAAAATCTATACTGTAGGTTAAATTATGGACAGCACAGTAGCTGTAAGAACTAGTTAGCAACTGGTTGGTTTTGTTCTTTGTAGCTGTGATATTAGCCATTGGATATCAATACTGCACTCTTGAACAAGTAACTGACACCGGTATTTACTGATCATTCTCAAACAGGTTCCAGTAATAATTACAAAACCAATGTATGAATAGTTACTGAAAGTGGACATATTTAGTTCTCAATTACAACTATAAATAAAAAATGTATATATGTCCCATGGTAAAGCTCAATGGTACAGCACAGTATAACCAAGAACTTACTAAGTGAACAAGAAATTGAACATATTTGACTATATCTTCACAAAATTGGGCTAAAAAAACCCTGCAGCAACAGATGATATTGACAACCCTGCCGAGACAATAGGAGTTGCAGTGTTTATTCTTAAATACATCGACCACCTCAATTAAAGATAGTTTTTTGAGTGACCGTACATCAATGGATCAATTGCACGATATAAAGTAGCCATGTGCCACTCATATAGTAACCATATAGATAAAATAGTGATTGGAGAGGAAGGCAATATACTGTACAGTATCTTGTCACACCAGTACAGATGCTGTATACTGATCCAATTATTTCTTGCACAACTAGATTCTACAAATTACAGTACTTGCCCAATAATAAAAATCCAAAATCCAAACTGACTTTCCAGTTCGGCATTGAAATTACCATTTCAAAAGTAAGAATCGCTACCAGTAAATGTACTAACATAAAAGGGACGAATTTTATAAGCTCAAAATGATCATTTACTTGTGTTAATTCCAACAAAACTAAAACTATCAAGCAATCCCTCTGGGCTAGTTGAGTAGGACTGGCATTAAATAAATGTATACCAATGACATTTCAAAATATCTTACATAAGTTTAGGTCTTAATTTTTATTCCCCAAATTTAGCAGCCACCATTTATGCCTGTCTCAAAGTTGAGAGATTGTGTAGCCAAGTACTCCACTTCACTACACTTATGTTTACCTATGCTATTTATGTTAAATTGATTGTGTGTTTTGAGTTACAGGTACAGTACCTGCCCTGTATCCAAGATAAATGTGGAAATCCACTTTTATTTACCTAACAATAATACCTGTACAAGTATAATAACTACCAGTATGAGATCCCCAATAATATTTACTGATATATTAACCTTTAAAAGAAATTATACCCAACCTAGCCTTCACTTCCAGTTAAAATATTCTATAAATGTTAAGATATGTTATAATTGGTTAGCACATTTTGCTATTAAAAAAAAGGGGAGGAAGGTCCAAAAATATTAATTCTAAAGCTACACCGCCAGATCAGTAAACCATAAGCATTATACTGTACACTCGAGTTTTAACATTTACAGTAACTTTCCTTAAGAGTAAATTGCTTTCCACACCTGAAAATCTAAGCTTACCTCCTCAACCTAACTGAAGCCCTATTAGTACCCTACTAGTCAACATGGTATGCACCAGGAACCACTTTCTCAAGATTCATTGTCAAACCACAACCCTTTCACCTTCAAAGTTCCTTGAGCCATTAAGGTTTACAGCTAAACATGACTTGGCAACATAGTATAATCTTGTGTGTTCCCCAGCCTACAGATTTTACTTTCTATTAGACTTCCCAAAATTGTATCACTATGTACACAATACAAATACTACTTAAGAGGATTTTCTCTAAGCATTTTCACCCTAATGCATGGTACTAAATACTACAGCATGGTACCATGTACATTTTGACAAGAATCTGAAGTTATTTTGAGCCCAAGAACTAAAACCATGAATATTTGGATTCACAAACTCAAAATCACGTACCAGTAACGAGTGATTACAAATTATAAAAGAGAAATTGCTTAAAGATAAACAAAAACTATCATGCTGTGTAAATTAGCAATGAAATCCTCCTCATCTCAATAGTGGACTGGGCTCATTAGCACCAATACATGTACAAAAATACATTAACAAAGAATAAACTTATGGTGTGAATGTAGACTACCATAAGTAATATGTGCATGGTCAAGGCTTTTAATTCCACCTGTACCGGTAGTAACAATTTAAAAATATATATGAACTGTTTTCAAACTAGTACAGGTAAGGTATTTGCTTTGGCTACCTGTCACAAAAATACCAATACATGTACAATGGGATTTTGCTTAGAGAATAGCTATCAGTTACGGTACTGGTACCTAAAAACTAATGAATTAAGGAGAAAGCAAGCAACTTGTGGTCTCTGCCATATCAGTGAACTAATAAAACCCATCAGAAATACTGTACTGTATGTCAAATTTTCTAAACAAGTCACTGACCAATACACAGGTTTGGTAGTATGTGCTGTAGTCTGGCTTGTTTCTGCTAAAAGCTTACCTTTCAGTGACGGCTTTGTCAATTTGCTGAAAGCATCGAGGCCATGACCTACTTATTTACCTTGTAACTTAAAAGTAGCCTTTTCAGTACTGGTGCCAGGTCCAGTAACTACAAAAAGCTACTACAGTATACAGGTATTCAGGTACATGTAGAAAAAATTAGCTGTAGTTCTTAAGCTCTGCAATTCCAATTCATGTATTGGTATCGACCAGAATTACCGGTATCAATTGCATCCAACTACAGCATCATACAATCAAAACTTCCCTTAATCATGCAATCCACATGCCCTACAAACTAGCACCTCCCAAGCAAAGTATTGGATTTACATAAGGGAATCCTTGAATATCAGTGAAATGCCTGAAACATAGACCTTACATCTTGATAACTCGGGTACAAAATAGTTAATTTAATTTCGCAAAACACTTGAATATTAGAAATCTTATCTTTGCACTAAATAGTTTAGACAATTCTAAGACTTTTCTTGTATGACGTTGCCCTCACAAATACATATATGCCAGGGGGTCCAGGGGAATGGAGGCGAGGTCATTTGTAAGGTAAAACGCCATAGAAGTGTTTTAGAATTGCCAAATCGTTTTTTAATAACTATCAACCATCAGGTTTACACTTTTACCCAAGAAACTCCCAAGTCATGGATTCCAGGTGTTTGAGGTTTATGTTCTCAAGGGAACTGCACTCAAATTGCCAGGTTTTCACTTTCACATAAACTTACAGCAAAACATAAGACCTCCACCTGTAAATCATATATTCTAATATCTGTATTTATAACTATTTGTCATTCTATTGTACCTACACAAGTAGTCTACAGAACAATGGATTAATGTACCTCAACCTAAATAAAAAAAATCTATAGTCTTAACACCTCGTACTGTACAGGGTCAAACTCTAGTCCCCAAAATCATCCTATTCAACAGAAATATATAAACATCTATTATCCCACATTAACCACAAATATTTCAAGACTATAACTACAAAACAGCAGATTAAGGATATTTTAGCTTACAAAAATTAGGGTTTGGTCACCTGTTTAGAGGAGCGGATCAATGAACCTTTGACCATACTTAAGAAAATCAATCAACATCTATTCTAGGCCAGTACAATGTCACACGTCTTGCCATGCTGGTATTGTCTTGCATGTGGCCATTTTGGTATCAACTTCGATAAGACCAGCTTGCAAAATGGGTAATATTGCAGTCAACAGCAACCACAGAATTCCGGAATTTCACTACACACAATTGATATAACCATTTTTCTATTATAATTTTCTTATATTACATTAGGTCAGGTTAGGTAACATTTTTTCCGATTATCCGATTGCTGTAATCTGCAATTTTATGGGAAAACAGGTGGTGGGAAAATTAGTTAAAAGAAATAATACCGTTTTAAACCCGACGAGCACTAGACATACCTTCACACTACTTTTCATGACTGACCTTAACTTAGCATTCAAACTTAACACCTTAATTCATGTAAGTTAATAGCAAAAAATATTCCTTCGCAACAAGAACATTAAAATCTTACATCACACCCTAACTACATAATCAAATCCTATAAGATAAATTACCAAGTCTTGGGCAATATATTAGCCTCACACGCCCAACACGCGAGTCTCAACTTGTAAAGCTCACGTCAATGTGGAAACATTGTGGAGGTTATATTTTACAAGACTCTCCACCCCGTGTTATATTTTGGTTTTACTTAACATATGCTGTTCGCCTGGTTTAATATTTACGTGTAAGTTAAACCAACATGGAGTGGTTCCTAACTGAATAAACCTATATCTTGCCACTTTATCCAACCATCCATAACCAACGGGAATATATATATATATATATATATATATATATATATATATATATATATATATATATATATATATATATACCCACAAAACTGCCAAGGGACATCCCAGTTAAACTGACTAGGAGCTTTCTAGAAGGATGGGCGACCCACAACCCATTATAAACCCATTTCTATATTAAACCTATACTAGCATGGGCTATATTACCAATTATATCATAGTTTATATATATATATATATATATATATATATATATATATATATATATATAAAATTTTCAGTTACCCCCGTTATTGTATATGGTATAGAGATTGAAAGTCAAGAGTTTAAATAACGGTTACTGTGGGAGAGGTGTGGGGGGGAGGGGAATTGCAGGTAATGTTAGCAGCACAGACGGCCAGACACATAGTATAACACTTTTATTATTGAGGTCAAGAGAAGAGAGAGAGAAGGGAGAGAGAGAGAGAGGAAGAACTTTCACTTGTTTAGCTGTCACAACCGCCAACACGCTCAGCCGGTCTTTGTTCACACACACCTTAAATAATACCTTAATTAACACCTACCACAACACCACCATGCAACCAACACTTAATAAGAACTGTAATAATATCAACGGACAACTCATGGGGGTATGGTAAAGTTATGGGGGTAAACTTAGAGTAATATTTAACAACATGGGAGAAAATATGAACCGGCAAATACTACTTACTTCGATGTTATTACTTTTGGCCCATAATGTACCATCGTGACCAGCGATAACTGCCTTAGCAACAAGTCCAGAGCCCATAAGCTGCTGGTCTACGTAATTTTGCCACGACATTTTGAAATAATTTGTATAAAATGAGTCACTGCAACTCCCGAACCACAACTGACTTGACTACTGCATGGGAGAGGCTGAGGCCGCAGAACGCCATGTCTTACTCCGCCACCACCAGTTGCCACGTGTCCAATATTACCCCCCACTACACACCTTTATTATCTGATAGTACTTCATTCTAAATAGTAAATACCGATTTTATTATGATATTATTAGATATTTATTATTATTTAATTGTATAACTCGTGTGGATTATTTAAAAACATGTGGAAATATTTAGTGTTAATGTTTGTCTTGTGAATCTGGCATGTTATAGCACACCGGCATGTATATTACCTTATCAGTTATCTCAGTGATTTCAACAGTCTGTTATTAGTGGGTATACGGAGCGTCAATTCCAGACATAATGACATAATTTCGTAGATATTTATAAGAATGCGGGAAATTACTCGTACTACTTTGTTCCGCGTAGGCCGAGATGAATCATCGCAGTTACTGGGAGGGTCCATGTGTCAAGTGACGTCACGGAACTCTGGAAGAGCGGGAAATCATGAAATATCAGAAAATGGGAATTTCCACTGCACAGCAATGTTGATCCTGCAGAGAATACTAAACACTAAACCTATATTCCTGATAACATACTTCACCTAGCACGTCGACTTTCCAACACTTAACTCGTGATTTTAAAGGAACAGGGGCATTACTATTTACTACACGTCATTTATTCCAAAACTTTAAATGGCACTAACGCCATTTACGGCCATTAACAACAATTACTCACTTGTCGGCTATGAAACAACGTTTTCAGTGTAAGAGCAGTTCTTAGCAATAAACTGAGATATCACAACACTTAATAATATTCACAATTGCAAACCTGGCGTCTTCGTCTGAATTAATCTTAAACTACTGATATTTATTTCAGAATATTTAGCCATCAAATCAAACAAAGGAAGATTTGGGTGAAGAACTTGGGGAAAGATTTAAGGGAGGAGCCAAGGGAAGGATATTGTGAAGGACTTGGGGAGGAATCCTAAATTGGGCCAAAGGATCCTTGGGAGATTGTGTCAGAGAAGGATCTTGGGGAAGGATGTTCTTATTCCTTCTTTCAGTCTTTCATACGTACAACAACAAAACAAAGACCCACACATACATCTCTCGCCTCATATCGATTAATGTTGCAGTACAAGCATAAGTAATTTAGGTGTACAAGTGGTCGTTGAGTCACACACAGACACGCACACACAGACAGACACACATACACACTCTCACTCTCACAATGATGTCACGGGAATAGCACACGCAGTCATGATTGTTGGGAAAACGAAATGTGAAGTAACAAGGGTTCATATTTTTTTTACGCGCTGAAATATAACGTTTTGAGAATATTTAATAACTTACTAATTAACTTAACTATCTGATAAAGAATAGAAACTGATATTTTTGTTGTAATGTCGCCTCAGTTGATTAACACAATATAAAGGGAAGCCTATTCGATTGTTCCTCAGGGAAATCAGAAAAGGTGAAAATCTGGAAAGTTTTTTAGAACCTCACCATATTGGATTGGTAGGCCAGAGTAGACTGGTGGGCCATGACAGACTGGTGGGCAATAACAGACTCGTAGGCCATAGCAGACTGGTAGGCCTCGGCAGACTGGTGGGCATTACAGACTGGTAGGCCATGGATATTTATTACATGTATAAATTACTTTTCATACTGTATGGACAAATATCCGATAACTTAACTTCTGATTTTTTTTTTTTTAAATTTTATCCGATTATGAGACAATCCAACTAATCTCCAAGTGAAATAAGCTAGGGTGTCTAATCATCAGATGAAATAAACTTCAGGTAATTCGGCTAAAAAGTTGATAACCATTTTACACAGAACGGGTATTGAATATGCAAAGAAGGGGGGGGGGATGTAACGAATGCTATTGCTTTTAGGGCGACACTGAAAACCCTGGGTTAAAGCTACACACACATTGACATACACTAAATGCAAGCAGGTGGGGAGGAAAAATTGGGCCCTGTGTAAGATTGGGGATAATACTCGTATGATTAGGCAGTTCCCACACTATTTTTCTTTTAAACAATAATAAAATATAATAATTACTACCATGGCATACAAACCATATTAATATAACTATCGTACAAGATAAACGATGGTGTAATGAATTAATTAAATAATAAATAATATAAATAATGACATTATATAGTTGCTCTATTATAAATGGCATATCAGATCCATGATAGAAAAAAAATGGCACATCCATCAACAACAAAATGAAATGGATATCAGAATTTCACCGACAGCTGGTTAGTAAAAACAGAATGTTATGTAATTTTTTTTTTTCATAATCTATCCGACAACCTTATACGTAATGGTTCTCTGATGCAGTAAATCTGACAGCTAGATAATCAACATTAATTTTGGCTGGAATGATGTGAGAGGAGGAAGGGAAACTGACATATTTTTAAACACTCGTACTCTTTTTAAGAGGAAAATATCACCTTTTTATGTATAATTTCTACATATTTTCTTCTTGCTATTTTTATTTACAAATTACTTACGGAATTTAATAGATACATTTTATTAGTTACAGTATATAGGCAGGCAGACTATTATGCAGTATAGCCTAACCTAACCAAGCTCACAGTGAAATATAACAAAATAAAATGGGTGTTTCCTTCACCCTCCGATAAAATAAAAGACTTACCAGCTTCCTTTTTGTAACTAGTATTCACAGCACAAAACACTAAAGCTAGGATTCCATTCATGCATTAGCGGTTGCGTTAGCTTTAGCTTAGCGCCAAGAATAGATCACATTGAAATGTACACGGTTGTTTCCACTGGCACAGTTGCGTTAGCGTTATGCGTTTGCAGTACCTGTCAATCGTTCCCTGTAGCGATTGAAAAAGCAAATGCACTACAACGAGCACTATAAGCAAATTCCCGGATGTGCTAAAGTATATACAGTATACCAATATTCGCAGCCGAGGAATGTGTTTGACAGAATTTCCTAGCACAGGTAGCTTCTGTACCTGGTGTATATTTCCAATCACTTGGCTTCCCATTAAATTGTGAGAGCATTGAAGCTTAGCGATCAAAGGAACTCGCCAAACTACCTTGTATTTACTGGGCGTGATCGTCTATATTGATACTTTGAGTTTCTATTTAAAATTACATAACAGAGCAGTGAATAACGGATATAAAGAGAGAGAGAGAGAGAGAGAGAGAGAGAGAGAGAGAGAGAGAGAGAAATTAGTAGATGGGCCAACACCAGGCAGAATTAAGACTTCAACCCGCATCTTTTACGAAAAAAAAATATATATATACTGTATATATATATATTCTTTTGAGTTCGGTCTTCACTGTTTCCTCGTATATTAGGGATTTAATAAAGCAGTTTAATCAACTCATTTAAAAATACAACACAAAGTTTACAATCGCTATAGTTCAAATATTACATTGAGGCTCTACCAGTATCATCTAAATGCTATCTTTTATCACCCTAAGACATAAAAAGTATATGACTCTTAAAGAACCCACACCTCGGGATGAGTAGGGCAAGCGATAAAAACTCAAATGAACGATCTCTTGCACCTTCTATAGCTGGTTACACTTGCTATATTTCGCGACGGTCGAGATATTGGCGATTTTAATTTGGTGTTCCGTTGATGTTGATGTGTTTTTGTTATGTACGTGACGACAATATTACAAGTAAGTTAATGAATAAATGTATGTTATTCAACGTTGATATAATGGGAATAAATCAACAACGAACGAGGCTATGTCGAGAATATTGCATCGTAGAATTATATTATCAATTGTTATGATATTTTCTCCTTTATATTGTGTAATAAATCATATTATTTACAATATAAACAAATGATAAACTGTGGCAACAAATATACGCGAGAGATGAGATGAATCAGTAACTGCCTAGTATGTAGTGTTTTGCTGTGGCGAACTTAATAATATACTGTAGTTGCAAATTCTAACATTCGTCTGGCGGACCAAAATAGTCTCAGCGGCGGGACATTTTCAGCGCTTGGGAACCATGTGAAATGGGTTTGTCCCAGAGCCAAATGCTGTTGCCTGCCCGCCCTCCCGCCCCTCTCTCGTGGTGATGAGGTACCCGGGAAGGAGGGAAGTGGGAAGGAGGGAGGTGAGAAGAATGAAGGTAGGAGGGTGGGAAAGTGAAAGGAAGGGAAATGAGAGGGAGGGAAGGTGGAAGGTAGAAAAGGCAAGGAGATAAAAAGTGAGATGGGGAAAGTGGGGAGGTGGGAGGAAGAGAAGAATGATAAAGTAAAGGAGGGGTATGGAAGGGAAAATATGGGATGGTAGTAAAAGGAAGATGGGATAGACGAGAAAGGAGGAAGATGGAATGGTAGTGGACGGGAGGAGTTGAGATGGGATGGATAAAGGTAAGGGTTACTAATCTTAATGAGAGAGAGAGAGAGAGAAAGCCTTACCTCACTGATACGGGAAAGGTGAGAGGTGTTAGGGTAATTCTTAACCTTGAGATATTAAACTTTAATTATAGAGAAGTATTAGGCTTTAAGTTCGTGTGTTGAAGAAAATACATCGTAAATTAACAGGTACACTTGAAGATCAGGCATCCCAGGTTATTTCCATCCTTGTTTGTGTACCTAGAGTCCTACATCGTTGAATGGAAACTGAAAGTGAGTTTATGTCAACACTTTACATATGAAATAGATTTGTAAATACAATAAATGTTCCTTGGGTATAGTTGGTATTACGCAAAAAATATAAAATAATAAATAAAACCTAGTTCCTCACCTTGAAACTTGTTCCTAACGCCATATTATAATCGGTGAACAAATCAGGAATTAGCGACAGTTCGATTACCTGTAAACTGAAAAAATAACGAGATAAAAAGAGTAAATAAAGTAACAACAATCAAAGGATATAAAGATTTGGTATAGTTAGCCCTAAAATTATTACGTTTTTCTATGGTTACTTTGCCGAATACGTTTTCTTTACATTAATACTAGCTAGGACGATGGCAGCTTATTCCAAGAGTTCAAAAGTAAGTAGTTGATGTTTTCTGCGGTGCTTAACTTCTTCTAAATCACCCCTTGTCCGTCTATACTATATTTAGGAAAGTGCAGACGAAAACTTCAACAAATTTCACTTCATATTTCAGCGAATCTCACTGTTCATTATAGCCTTGCTGTTGGCTCTTCGAAGACAAAGGCAAATATACTGACTTACTGTTGACAATTAATCTACGTATACAATATCACAAAAAAGTGCAGTTTAAGTTGTTTGAGAAATATGTGAGTAATAGGAAGAAATTATGACACTGGAAACAATACAACTACGATTACTATTATTACAGCAACTAATCATAATAGGTAAGGTTGACGAATATTACCAAGAATTTGTGTACATTTGACCTGCACCCACGAATAACATTAAACTTTACAGTTGCCATCGTACTGAAGCGATTACGTCATCGCACTCAAAACGTACTTAAAACCTTTCAAGGCCGCCAGAAACAGCCACTCGACACTTTCACTGTTGGGCCGATAATCAAGTTCTCTCAAGTATACCATTAAGTTTTTGCTCTCTCTATTACTAGATGTAGAGAGAAGTAAAATAGTCAGTAAAGATTGGATTCTTGTTGTGTACAGTGACTTACTGAATGTTTAGACCTTAGTTGTTGAAGGTTAGGAAGACATAACTGACTTTTTTCACATTCACACAAATCTTCATCTTAACACACTAACCGCGTTACCTGTATATTCAATTTACACTAACCTAGCCCCAATTTAACTGAATCTAACCTAGCCCTAATTTAACTGAATCTAACCTTCTCACCACTGATCGGCTCGTTAGCCGCCTGGGCGATCGGTCACGTCTGTTACTGTTGGCAAGTACAGGCCATGACCTGGCTCCTGAATATACTTGAACCAAGTATGGTCTTGAAAGAGCTCACACTCGGTGCCGTCACAACTCTCACTCCGAAAAAGTTACCCCTCGCAGTTTTCTGGACTTGGGGCTTCTTCAACCTTGAGCTGTGACCCTTTGTGGGGGCGAGAGTCCGCCAACTCCAGGTATGGTCGACTGAGTAGTGCCCCTTGAGATGTTTATATACCTCAATTAGATTAAAACTTAAGAACAAATATATAAGTATAGGTATAAAAGAGGAATGAAAATAGTAAATGAAGGCAAGATAACAATAAACACTGCATACGACGGGTAGACCAGAATACTGAAGAGCAACAAGTCTACTGTGAATAAGGAATAATAACTACAATATTATGCGGTATTGTAAATAAATAGGTTACTGTGAAAACATAGACGAAATGACATTAATAAAGTATGCAAGCAACTGTATTGGATCCATAATAATAATAATACCAATGAAGCGTCACTCATTCCGGTGTAAAAGTCGAAGTAAATATATACGAGAATATATACAGGCAGGTGAGATAACGCGAATGTCATGAAGGTGAAAGTACTAACCTATATTTACCGTACACCTAACACAGTTGTCACCTTAGCACCTCCTTGTGTATTTGTTATCAGGTTCATCACATCCTAATAGTGCTGCGCCGATTGACTAAAACATTGTTATAACATATGTAGTATTTTATATTATTATATTAAAATTCGTCCTACGGGTGACTTTATAAGAAGCCCAGCCCTGTAATTAGTCCTTGTTGCTGTACCATTATCCTCTAAATTTTTTGGCTGATTATTAGTTCATTTTGCTGCCGTTTCAATGTTGCACAATGTCTCAGTTCATCCTATTTAGTACAGTATATTTATTTTCTCATATCCTAAAGCTTAAAATATCAACTGAAGAATCTGTATTTGATCTGTGATGACAACTGGAGTGGTAAATTTAGCCCATGTTACCTGGGTTGAGTTGTGGTGACTTAGTCAGGTGCCCTGTGCAGGAGGTCAAGGTGGATGCGTTCTCGCTGTGCAGGATACTAAAAGCATTCCTAGACTTTGTTATATTTCACACAAAGTCTGTTCACCGAGCTTATGGCGTAGGTTGAGTCCTGGCGGGGCGAGATTGTTGATTATATGTAGAAGTCCGCGCGCTTTTTGGGCGAAAAACTCACACAGACACACACATATATATATATATATATATATATATATATATATATATATATATATATATATATATATATATATATATATATATATATATATATATATATATATATATATGTGTGTGTGTGTGTGTGTGTGTGGTATGAGGAACTCCAGAGACAACTATTTTGTGATTTAGAATATTACTGATATGGATATGTATTTTTGTAAGCTCCGAGGAGGAAAACCTAAATATATTTTGTGGGTTTGAAATGGAATTTGCGCGGGAGCGAATGATCCCAGCCCGGGGTGGAGAAACACTACTGCGTTGTTTACACAACAAAGACGGGTCGGGTGGGCCCAGTAGCAGGTGACTCCCACGTATTTCTTGCTCGGATAGGGTGTTTGATAGATTGAGCATAATAAATGTTATATGAAGAATGTGATGATCTTGTGGAGGTATAGTCTGTAATTCAGAATAAGGCTAATTCTAGCTTTGCTCTACAGACATTCACCCTGGAGTGAGTCGACAACAACAGCCACTTCCCTGTGTTATGCTGGTCCCAGCCCTTTCCTTCTCGGGTGATTTCTAGAGTGAATAAATGAGAGAAAACTACAAGTGTGTGTCCTATCCCTGCTTTGTGCTTTGCTATATTATATATATATATATATATATATATATATATATATATATATATATATATATATATATATATATATATATATATATATATATATATGGATTTTGGGAATTTTGATCCATTCTAGGGAATTTTCAGCCTTAGTCTAGGGAATTCTTCATCTGAACTTGTGGTAACACTGCCAAGCGGCTAAGGAGCCGATAAGTAGTTAAGAGGATAAAAGTAAAAGTAAAAAGTTAATTTAAAATTCACAGGATGACCCAAACGATAATATTACCCGCGTGAACCTAATAAAACCTAAGCCAACCTACCAAAGAAACCTACCAAACCTTACCTAACTGGTCATGTAATGCAGGTAAGTTTATAAAACAAAAACAAAAAACAACGGAGGTTCGGTATTATTATCGTTTCAGTCATGGCACGAATTGATGGTAAGTTTTCACTTGGCACTAAACGAAATCGGAGTTGAAACTTTTTCCGGTGTTTTTTTATGTGTAATTAACGAATTTGACCACCTCTTCTGGCGTAAATCAATAGTTTCTGAGATAAGCCCCACTCTTCCATCTTCAAACATAGGTTGGATGCTCATATGAGCAATAGGGGTTGGGTGTAAACGGGACTGCCCAGTATGGGCCAATAGGCCCACTGCAGTTTCCTCCATTCATATGTTCTTATGAAAGTCAAGGTAAAAAACAATTTAAAACCCAAAAAAATCTGAAAAACTTTCGAATTTAACCTAACCTAACCATCAGATATGAGCATACATAATCCTTTTTGTAGCAACAAGTGAAATGTTGTACATAACACCGAATTAAGGTTTAGGTTAGGTTAGATTTTTCTGATGTTTTTTTTGTGTGTTTTGAATGATTTGTCCTTTGGAAAATAGGTGCATGACCAAAACAATAATTTTATCAGAGTTTCAGTAGGTTAATTAAGTTAGGTTAGGTCAGGTCAGGTCATAGTTTGGTTATGTTGGGATTGGTTAGGTCGGGTTAGGTTATATGTTCATAATGCTTTTAACCCAATGGTAATTATTTGGATCTTGACTGTTGCTAGTGTAGCAGACAACTTTGGTTTCATTTTGCCTAATATTTTTATGTTTATACAATGGAGGGTGAAATTTCAAGCCTTTCGCCGTGGTACTTGTGAGAAGCGCTTGGTTATTTCGGATTCATTCCAAATTCAAATTGTTTAATTAATTTACAAGGGAAAAAATACGAAATAAGCCAAAATCTGGATTGTAACAATCCTAATTAACGAGGTTACAGTGTACAGTACTGTCTTGTACTTCCTTTTCACAATTTGTATGATTATTAATTTCCTATTTGAAGGTAAATGATAGTACTGTACCTTTCTCTCACTAGATAAATTGTTCAACTAAGGAGCCATGTTCAGGAGAGCTTGGCATGTTTGGTCAAAACTATTCGGACGTTACCTGTGGGTGACCAACACCGTGAGCTCCGGAGCTTTGCTAGCCATAGGAGACGGTATACAGCAAAATGTAGAACACACTCGAGGCGTCAACATCACCCCGGGTTATGACTGGGGAAGAACAGGTAGACTCTTTCTTGTTGGTCTGAGTCTAGGTCCACCCCATCATTTATTTTACCTCTGGCTAGACAAGGTACAGTACTGCTTGTGGTTATGGAGCTTCTATTTGATTCAATTCATGCCTTGGGCTTTTTACTTTATAATCCACACATCACAATACACTTTCCATGTTCAGAAGTTTGATGTTCAGTAATTCTAAATACAGTCAACCCTCGCTTTACACGGTCCCACATTCCGCGTTTCCACGTTTACGCGGTACACTGCCGAAACCGGAATGCTCACATTCCGCGGTGCGTGTACCCCTTTACGCGGAGAGTGGCTGGCGAGCCACGCCATTTTAGGATCCAAACCTCCCGCCATCCGCCATGTTGTGTAAGCTGCGCGAGCAGGGTGCGCACAAGGTTGCCCAGTCATCAAAACATTACCGAGTTCTTCACCCACCACAGCCGGCCCAAGTCAGTGATAGTGATAATGATAGTGAGGATATGGACTTTGAGGGGTTTGACAAAGAGGCCCTGCAAGCCTCTGTGGTGGATAGTGATACAATTGATACAAATGATACAGGTGAGGGCCAATAATCTGCCCTCTGCCTCGGAACCAACCCTCCATCCCCGTGTGCCCAGCCATCTTTTCTACTAATGTAAGTGTTAAAAAAACCTAGTATTATTGATATTTCTCTTAATTATTAATTGTGTGTGCATACCATCATAAAATTAAGAAGTTATTTTTACTACAACGTAGGTATTGTGTCTGAAAAAGTGGAGTTTGGGGGTCGGCCCGGTCTCTATTTCAATTAATCCCATATGTTATGTTGTTCACTTTACGCGGTTTTCACTTTCCGCGGTACCCTGTGGGTTCAATTGACTGCGTAAATCGGGGTACTACTGTACCTGTTTTGGCCCCTTCTGATTCTCATATATATGTAGTGATCTCCACCTGCCTCTTCCCCGTCCACCTTGATCCCCTCTAACACAAATACTGTACAGTACTGTGCTCCAATAGTTTTACTACAGGTATTACTTTGTCTTAAATACTGAACACTATTTACATTTTTGTTTATTTTTTACAGGTCTTGCCAAAGAAGAATGCTAAAGTCATCTTTAAGAAAATTATGGCAGATCAATTTATAGGAGCACCACTTTTTGCTGTGATATTTTTCTTAGGAGCCGGACTACTTGAAGGAAGGACACTTAATGAATCTTGGCAGGAGTTTAAGGAGAAGTTCCCAACAGTCTATGCTGTAAGTTAGTTACTTAATTAAACAGTATTTTATTGTATTATCATTACCATTACTTGACCAATTGAGTCCAAGACAGACCTTAGGAAGGTCAACCTTTCCTTGACTAAGCCTCCTCTTCTGGGAAGCTTATTTGGTACACTACACCGTTCCCTCATTAATTTGGATCAACACGATTCAGATTTCGGCTTAAATCACATGTTTAAAAATAAATAAATAAACGATTTTAATTCGGAATTAATCCAAAATAACTGAGTGGTTCCAAAAAGTCGCCTTGGCTGTCATATAAAATTCTATATAATTACTGTACTGTGCAAGTATTGTTTAAACATACAAACTGAACATACAGTAATAATAAAGTAATGTATAATACAGTACTTTAATTAATAAATGTAACACTGTACATTACAAGGTGAGCTGATAATACATGTAGTATGTAGATGATATTCCAAAAGTGTAATGATCACACTGGTAAATGGACCAAAAACCCACATTGGGGAAATATAAGACAAAATCTTGGAGCTGGTATAATAGGACCCTCTTGAGCCAACTAACAGAACAAAACAAGGGAGAAACACATAGAAAATAGGAATCAAGTCACGTGACCTGTCTCCTGAGTTGATGTATGGTGGAGATGAGGTATAATCTCCTTGATGACAGTATTCAGGGTCAGGTCTGGGTTGGAATAATGAGGAACAATCTGAAAAACTAAACAGAGGATGAATGATTAATCAAACACAAAATCTGATGTTGTCGAATAATGTCAAAATACTGTATTCCAAACTCGGTTATTTCGGATTTTCTGCTAATTCGAGTGACCCAGAGCCACTGTTTTTGTCGAATTAACAAGGGTATAATGTATACCCGGTATATGGTATTTTTTTTTTTACAGTATGTTCATAATGATTCATTTTAATAAATATCTTATGAAATACAGTTCAAGGAATTTGTTAGCTTCCCAGGTGTTTCTGTTGATGCACCGGGTTGTTCTTCCATGTACAACTTACATGTTATAGATTGAGCAACATCGTTCTTCCCTAAGTTGGTTCAGCAGCAGCTTTTTTAGTTGTTCACTTGATGTACCATTTTCACAGAGTCGGAAAAAATTTTCCTCAGCCAAATGTCTAACAGATGAGGTACATTATTTCATTCAGAAATTGAGTAACTTCCTTCCTTGAGGCTCTTGTGAGACTTTCTTATACAGTACTTTAGATACTTACTGCACCTCTCTCCCCAAGACCATTAATGTTTTACTTTTTTACTTTATGTGAATAACATCTGACCCGACAAAGACTAGTCATTGAGACAACCACTAAATGTTTATTTTACATCTAAATTTGTCTTAAGAAGGCTGCGGATATACAGCTTATAGCTTGACACTTGTGTATGGAGGTACATCTGCCACCGAGTGTCACATTCTTCTGGACATAGGTTGGCTATCTGGGGTGTGTGGTGGTGGACTGTCTCTTGTAAATTAATTTTTTATCCCCCAAACATAAAGGAAGATTTCTTATTTCAATTCTTTATTTTTCAGTTTGACTGGTTCATATGGCCGCCCAGCCAGGCCATCAACTTTTACTTCGTTCCTACACAGTATAGAGTCTTGTACATAAACGGTGTCACAGTTGTGTGGGACATTTTTCTCTCTCATATGAAACACATGGTAAGTCTTACAGATATTGTTTATATATTCAGTAAACCCTCGAAAGTCCAGACAATGTGGGGGAAAGGGGGGTGCGGACTTGCCGATTGTCCAGATTTGTATTTTAATGTGCAATAAATGTTCTGTGTGTTTCCTCTTAGATTTTTCCTTTATTTTTAAGTCAAATTGCAAATTATATACAGTGTCATATTTTCTAATGTTATTTAATACTGTATTATATTTATGGTGAAACAGACAGTGCAGTATAATGGTAGACACTCACAGTTGCAGGACCAATTTGTTTGCTTTTTGTTTGGCAGGATCAAGTCACTAAGAAAACACAAGTAACAGCTGTCACGGCATAATAGAAACTGCTACTTGGAATCTTCAGTCTCAAACTCAGAGGCCAAATATTATCCATAACAATAGCTTTACTGGTAAGTGGAGATAAGAAGCTATATTATATTGTACAGTTTATACAAGAAATTCAAGAGATTGGGAGATGAAAATTGTTATTATTAAATTAGATCATATGCAATATGTACTGTAAAGTGATATCCCTATTAGCCGGAACAATTGGAAAATTCAAGCTTTGGGAACGATTTTTCGAGAAAATTTCAATTCCTGTTATCCGAGAGTTACGGGTTTGCGGGATTCCGGCTAACGGAGATATTACTGTATAAAATTATGTTTGGGTGCGTAGTAGTGGAGAGGAGGAGGGAGGAGAGGACATCACACCCCCCGTGCTCATCAGCCCATAATTTTACCGTAATTCTAATATTATTTAGGTCGTGTGAAGGATAAAAAATAAAAAATTTAATGAGCTATTCTTGTATAGTCCCATAATCATTGGTATTATTCACCTCATGTATATTATTCATGTGCACTATTCATTATCACAATTCACATGATGTTCTTGGGTACTTAAATGCTGGGAATTATTCATAATTAATTTATTAGAAGATGTCTGTTAACAGTTGCTATTTTGTATTAGAATTTTAACTAATGATCAAATAATCGACTTTCTAGATGGGATATGAGTTGAGACACCAGTTATTCATCTGCTTGGGACACTAAATTCCTGTATTGCTTGAAACCTACATTGTGTTTTTTCTCTTGTCATAACTTTTGTCAATAGTAACCCCCCCCCCACACAAAAAAAAACACACACACACACCTCACAATAGATTGATCATTCATTTGCACATTTATATTATTTTTATGTATAGGAATAGTAAAAAATAGTTGTCATTTTTATTGTTATTTACTATTTTGTTTCTCAAGTTCACTATACAGATATATGTCTAGTGGTAGTACAGGTTGGTTAACACCGGTGGTAGTACAGGTACGTTAACACTGGTGGTAGTACAGGTAGGTTAACACCGGTGGTAGTACAGGTAGGTTAACACTGGTGGTAGTACAGGTAGGTTAACACTGGTGGTAGTACAGGTAGGTTAACACTGGTGGTAGTACAGGTAGGTTAACACTGGTGGTAGTACAGGTAGGTTAACACTGGTGGTAGTACAGGTAGGTTAACACTGGTGGTAGTACAGGTAGGTTAACACTGGTGGTAGTACAGGTAGGTTAACACTGGTATACAAACCATGTACATAGACATTGTAGGTACAGGAGGTCTCTGATACGAACGAGGTTAAACTTGAAATTTACAGTACTGTACTGGTACCTGGTAGTATTAACACTGGTAATTTACACTGGTGGTAGTACATTGGTGGTAGTACCACTGGTGGTAGTACATGTACGCAGGCAAGCAGCAGGGCGAGAACACTGCTGGTAGTTGAGTCACTCGCACAGGTAGCACTGGTGGTAGTACAGGTAGGTTAACACTGGTGGTAGTACAGGTAGGTTAACACTGGTATACAAACCACTGGTAGTACATAGACATTGTAGGTACAGGAGGTCTCTGATACGAACGAGGTTAAACTTGAAATTTACAGTACTGTACTGTACCTGTAATTTACACGGTAAATTCCATCATGTACGCGGCAAGCAGCAGGGCGAGATGCTGGGCGTTGACGTCAAACTCGCACCGGTGATGTCGCAGACTGTGATTGAGCCATGTATCCTTACCACCCACGCACCCCCTCCGCCGCACGCTGTGATTGGTCTATGCATCCTTGCCACTCCTGCCACCCATGCTCTCCGCCACGTTCAGTCTCACCGTCTCCTCGTATATTCACTCCCTGCCCAGGAACCAGTATTTTTTCTTTCTTCACAATGGCTTCCGCTGGACCCCCACCGCCCCTGGAGAGGCCCTGAACTACCATCATAAAATTAAGATGTTATTTTTACTACAATGTACAGTATTGTGTCGGTGATAGCCAAAAAAAAGGTGAGTCTGGCAGTCGGCCCAGTCTCTTATTTCAATTAATCCCATAGGCTCTGTTATTTTATTTACGCGTTTCGCTTTTTACTCGAACCTCCATATGTTTAATTACCGTGTAAAACCAGACTATACTGTACTGTATTTATTTTATTTTATTTCTTCTTTTGTCTTAAATTAAGTGATTTTAGATGTATATAAGGACTTAGGCTATGATATAGTGGGATTTTATACATTGTTTTGTAAGTACGGTATGCACATAGCATGTGTTCTGACTTATGTACACTTTCGACTTAAGAATGTCCTCAAGAACAGAACCCATTCTTAATCCCAGGGACCACCTGCATACAAATAATGTACATAGACGGTGTAGGTATACAACCAATGTACAGTAGCTAAAACAACAACTGTATCTGTGCACGCTTTGTGGGAAACAATATGAGACCATGGACGATAAATTTTGGTGTATGTTGGCTGTCAATAGTCACACGTAAAATTTCGGAGCATATCGACCCCCACCTGCACAAATAATTGTTTTAGCTACTGTACATAGACAGTGTAGGCATATGAACAATGTACATAGACAGTGTAGGCATACAAACAATGTACAGTACAGACAGTGTAGGCAGTGCTGCAGTGCCAATTTTTAAGGTGCCGGAGCTGTCAAAATAAATATGCAGGTAGTAGTCTAATGTGCTTATCCTTTTGATATTGGACATATATCTATAGCTCTTATGAGCGGAAATACCTACTTTTGAAAAAGTACTGTTTTTAAGTGTTTAGAAGTACACCTGTTATCAAAGTCTTTCTACAGTATTGATAAGTCATAAATGTAAGCTGATCTGAAGGAGCGATTAATTATGAGGATATACTGTAATTATTAGGTTTTGTATTATTAATGCAAAATAAAGTTGATTGTTTGATTGATATAGATATAGAGCTTACTATAATTTCATGTGTGAAGTGTGGTGTGGTGGAGTGGATGAAGAGGACTACACTAATTTGGTATGGACATGTGCCGAGGATGCATGAAGACAGGCCGACAAAAAAAAGTTTATGATAGCAAGACAGAGGAGAATGTTGGGAGGTGTAGACCCACCTGGGAGACAAGAGTTAAAGAGTTTGTTGAAGAGAGAGCATGAAGGGGAGGAAGAGTATTTGAGAGAGCAAGTGAGGTGTGCAAGGATAAAATGGCCTGGAGACATTTCTGCCATGGGCACTTCCTATTGGGGAGATCCCGAGAGGGAAGAAAGGGTCAGCGATATTGATTGATTGATTGATCAAAACAGAGCGCTCCGGTGAGCTCTGACAGCACTGTACCCCTTATAAGGGCCTGCGCCTCTTATAACAATTTTTACTTTAATATTTACAACCTTTGGTAACATGACGAGAGGTAGGCCCATGGGTATATGTAATTATAGTATCAAGTAATAGGGAAGAAATAACGGTGGATACTGTAGGTAAATAATAGACAATATACAAATACAATATTTATTTAGACATTAAAATGGAGGTAGGAGAAAGTTATATGTACCAACAGACGAACTCATGGTACCAGGCCCTCAGGCTCAAAATGCTCACACCATTACTGGGTGGACATATACAGTAACACACAACTCTTACAGTAACTTAGCACCATTAAAACCAGGGGCAACTGCCACTACAGCACTCAATCGTCAGGAGTGATACTCGAGCAACCCCCATGGGGTCCTGCCACAATGGGGTACTTTCCAACGAACTCTGAAGATCCCAGTGGAACAACACCACCACACAAATAGCCCTACTGAGCTAGACACTCATCCACCAATGATGGGGGCTGGTAGTTGTGTGTGGCTTGGTGATCCGGGGTCACCTCGCGGGCCGAGCGTTAGGGTCAGACTGGCCAGCTATGGGGCCCATAGGTTGTACTGAAGCTTCTGACGGTCGGGCCTCACGTAGATAACTGACCTTACTGGACCTCAGACATCTCTCCAGACTAGTGGATACAACATCCACGCTACAGACATGGCCTAGGCTGCGTTAGGGACCTGTGTGGGTGAGGGGACGAGTACTTACTAAGAGTGACAACGACATCACGTTTCAAAGGGACGTTAAGGACATAAACATTACTTCACTCAAAGAACGTCAACTACGTTACTGTACACTTGCACAATCAACTATTAATCCCTGAGTGTAGGTATACAAACAATGTACATAGTGTAGGTATACAAACAATGTACATAGACAGTGCAGGTATACAAACACTGTACATAGACAGTGTAGGTATACTGTGGGGTACGTGATGTTTGGTTCACCCTCAGGATGAGATGGAGGAAGGAAACTCACAATGTGCTCTCTGTATACATATTGTATTGGATGTACAGTGCAGCTTGGTGCTGGGAAGGCAGCATGGTTACAAGTGTGATGTAGAGTTAGCTGGTTGGCGAGGGTGCTCAGAGGAGGACAGCTTGTGGGTCGCCATGCTCGCTGGCGGGAGTGAGGACCGCCAGGCAGGAGGAGGAGGTGTTGCTGGCTGGTTGGTGGAGGTAGAAAGAGAGAGGTCTTGTATAGCGGAGGTAGGCGTGGCTTAATAGTTGACCTCCGTGATGTATGGCGGCTCTGGTTGACCTAGACCACGAGGCATACACTGGGGAATTCGCGGGGTCGGCTACTCAGCGACAAAGCATTTGTAGGGGAGAAATCCACTACAATACAAACAATGTACATAGTGTAGGTATACAAACAATGTGCATAGACAGTGTAGGTATACAAACAATGTTCATAGACAGTGTAGGTACACAAACAATGTGCATAGTGTAGGTATACAAACAATGTTCATAGACAGTGTAGGTATACAAACAATGTTCATAGACAGTGTAGGTATACAAACAATGTTCATAGACAGTGTAGGTACACAAACAATGTGCATAGACAGTGTAGGTATACAAACAATGTTCATAGACAGTGTAGGTACACAAACAATGTTCATAGTGTAGGTATACAAACAATGTTCATAGACAGTGTAGGTATACTGTAGTGGATACAATACAAACAGTGTATATAGATTGTAGGTATACAATGTACATAGACAGTGTATGTATATAAACAATGTACATAGCCAGTGTAGGTATATAAACAATGTACAAAGCCAGTGTAGGTATAAATACAATATGTAGACTAGGTATACAATGTACATAGCCTGTGTAGGTATACAAGCAATGTATATAGACTGTAGGTATACACAGTGTATATAGACAGTAGGTATAAAAACAATGTATATAGACTAGGTTTTGGCTTAATTTCGTGAAGTTCCCTTTTTATTTTACAACAGCTCTAACTCAGTGTATACGTCTCTTAATAATGGTCTGAGTTAAATAAAGTGAGAACATTATTGCTTTTACAATTCATTCGTAATTTCTTGAAGACCTTTATATAAATATTTGAAGTTACTGGTCCTAAAACGTTTTCTGCGATAATAAAAGAAAATGGTGTTCTCTAGGTAGGGGACAGCTTCATTATGACAGTATAGGGCTCATGGTTACAATCATCCTGCAGTTAATAGCTTTTTAGTAGCGTCTATTAGTTTCCTTTTGGCATTTGGAAGGTAATATTAGGAGAGAATCACGTACAACACATTTTATATATATATGTAAAAGACATAATATTAAGGAAATTTGACAATATTCAGATTTTTTTTTTATTTGTGTGGAATTATTGGTTTATAACTACTACTGTATTGACCTTTTTATACTTAATATTTATTTATGTGATATAATATATACTCAATTGCACTCGTATATATATATTTTAACAACTTGTCATACATAAATAGTAAAGAACCATCGTAAATTTGTAACTGGAGTTTCGCGCCAAATTTCTGTGTCAACAAACCTAAAGTGTAAATAGAAATCTGGGAATTATCATCAAATAGTAAGTTTAATTTGACTATATATTACCAATGGATATTAATAATGGTATTTTGGTAACATACAGTAGATATAGGAAGGTGGGAGAGAGGCTGTAAACATCATGGAACATCTGTGATAAAAATGTTAAATTACCTTGTGTCATAGTTCGTGTGGTAATGGTATAATTTATATGATTTTTATTAATTATGATTTTTTTTATGTTTTAGGAATATTCAGGAACAGGGTCTTGTTAATAAGCAACTTTTAAGAGAACTTTGGGGGGGATTTTTTTTGGATAGCTGCCACTTAAGGTAATATATCAATAAATTTGTTGAGACGAGATAGAACTTCTGGAGTATAAATCTTTACTATAAATCTGGCAACATATGTGAAATCTACAAAAAATTCTAAGAAAAATTTCTTCTATGATATTTCCATTGCAAATGCATAATAAGTAAGATATGGCACTCGAAAGTTTTGGTTAGGTTAGGATGCATATTTTAATGATGAAACATAAGTTTTTCTATGTGTTTTGCTGAGTTTTGGATGAATTTGACCTTCAAAACTGGCACAAATGACTCGGTTTTTTTTGTTTCTTTTAGTTTCCCCCCAGCCAAAATCCTCGCTTCCCACGGGAGGGGTCCGACTAATTACCCAAATGTAGCCAAATGTAGCCGGAATGAAGTCAAATAATGGTCCTAGATGAATAAATCGGACTGCCAATCACTTCTCGACTAGTATTTGGTGTCAGAAAGTCATAAAAAATTGGAAAACTTACTTTAATCCGAGTTAATAGATCGCGTGCATGTACCTAACCTAACCTAACCTCGACTAGTATTTGGTGTCACGAAGTCCCAAAAAATTGGTAAACTTAATTTAATCTGAGTTAATAGATCAATTGCATGTACCTAACCTAACTTAATCTAATCTAATCTAACCTAACCTAACCTAACCTAACCTAACCTAACACAACACAAATCAGATTAAATTAAGTTTACCAATTTTTTTTTACTTTATGACACCAAATAATAATCGAGAAGTGATTCACAGCCCGAATTACGCTTGTACGACCATCATTTGACTTCATTGCGGCTACATTTGGATAATTCCTCGCTCCGTCGGTACATGCACGCGATCTATTAACTCGGATTAAAGTAAGTTTTCCAATTTTTTGTGACTTTCTGACACCAAATACTAGTTGAGAAGTGATTAGCAGTCCGATTTATTCATCTAGGACCATTATTTGACTTCATTCCGGCTATATTTGGCTACATTTGGGTAATTAGTCGGACTGCCACGGGAATCCCTAATCATTGTCGGGGGGGTCATAACATTAAAAATAATTCATTTGCAACAGTTTTGGAGGTCAAATTGGTTCAGTACACAGCAAACAAAATATATCAGGAAAATACATTTTTGAGTCACTAGAAGATATTAGGACTAAAAGTAACATCTACAGTATTAAATAATGCTACAATGTACAATTTGGTTAATAGTGGTTTTTTATTCCAATAGGTATTTCGGACTTTTACCATTATCACTAGGATTCTGTTTTAGGTTAGGTCAGGTCAGGTCAATTAAAAAAAACACCAAAATACACTAGATAAATACTAGTTGGGCTAATTGAGATAAAAACGAATTTTATCCAATCATCGTGAGTACCTGTGACCACTGGAAATGTGTCTTTCTTAACATAACTACAAGATGTTACTCTAATCCATGTGAATGTTTATCAATGGGTAAGTGAATTAATGACCTAAATGATGGTTCAAATAGGCACAGGATAATTATGTGAGTTTCATTAGGATGTTAATTGTTAAAACAAACCTTTTCTTTCAGGTGTTACGGTCAAGGTAGACTTACTAAAGGTATGTCGAAGAATCTTGCAGTGATCAGGGACACTAGACCTTTGCCATGCACAGCAGTGTAGATATTCAGGTAAGTTAATGTTGAAAGGTTATATGTGAAGTTCTATATTGAATGTTATATTATTATATAAGTACAAGTACCTTTTACACCATACAGTAGCCTGCACTACTGTACGGTACTAGTTTGTGTGACCAAGTGTACTTGCAATTATGTCATATTCCCCACAGATAAATCATACAATATATAAATAATATATAACACCTCACCTATTATTCAGACAATGTCTATTAGCAGCCATTAACAAATTGTGTAATGTTGAAGTTTGATCAAACTGTAGAACTGGGGACCAGACAGGTGGGATACTGAGTATTTATTGTACCGTACTATATTTTATTTAGTGTGGTGAATCAACAGCTCTCTAAGTACAGATGTTATACTGTACTGTACATTATGTAATCTCTAATGACATGATGATGATATTGTTAGTGAAAATTGGGTGTTGTCAAGTTACAGTCAAATATTTGCAAAACTCTTCCAGATTCATGTTGAATTAGTATACAGTACTACCTGTTCTAGATATATATTACAGTTTGTACATACTACTGGTATAGTAGTAGATATTGTTGTTGTTTTGAATTACTGCATGTCTTAAAGAAAAATGTACAGTATAGCTACAGTACTGTACTTAGTAGCTTGTGTGAAAAGTTAACTGAACACTGGTAATTTTAGAGACTTAACATTTCATACCTTTAGTTTTATCTGTGAATTATTTTACAAAATTTTCATCTCTGATGTAGAAAGTATTGAAATTGTTTGTTAGATATTTTTCATAAAGTTAGAAATGCTTTTTACTGTATACAGTAAGATTTTGATAATGGCAGGTGTGGATTTTTTAAACCTGTTTCCTTTATGTTAAATTGAGTTTATCACTTGCTAGCCTTGGTGAATAACCTCTTGAGATCTCAACACAGTGAATGCCCTATAGTAGAGCTTGCTCATTGTCATGGTGCATGGTGGGTCAGCAGTAGGAGGGTAACCTGTATCTTTCAAGTGAAGTAACATAAATATTTTCAAGCCAGTTTCTATCCCCCAATACACCAAGAGCTATTGAAGTTTTATCTATACACAATACTGTACTGTATAGTGGTGTGATGGTTGCTTGTAATTCCAAGAAATATTTTGTACTTTGTCAGAAGTGTGACTGTTGACAATTACTACACCTTTGAAAACCCAAGAGCCAAAACCAACCCCAAGCCATAATTGTGAACAAAAGATAGCTGTGGTTACTGGTAGATTAGACGATATTAGGAGTTCAGTTCCATATATTAGTCAGTTTATCTCACTGGCTTACACGTACAGTAAATAGTTGACATTCTGAAGCACATATGAATAATTACTCTGAGCTTAGCATAAAATATTGGGAATGAATTAGAAATAAAGTGTAATGACAAGAGGAATTTTTTCTTATGTATGGTGGGTGAATTAGAAGCTATCATTCTACTGATGCCTACAGGAGGTCCCCGGGTGACTTACGAACATCTGCTGATAGAAACAAGGTCCCATAAAGTTAAACTTTAAAGTTACAGTATTTTATTTACTTGGTGGCTTATTTTTTATTTTCATTTACTGTATTTTGTTATTTTATTTCTTATTTTCTTGTAAATTAAGTGATTTTAGATGTATGTACAGTATATAAGGATTTAGGCTATGATATAGTGGGATTTTAAACATAGTTCTGTAAGTACAGTATGCACGTAGAGTATGTTTTTCGACTTGCGTACATTTCTGAATTAAGAACGTCCCTAGGAGTGGAACTCATTCATAACCCAATGACTGCCTGTACATAGTCGAACGTTTCCTTCATCGTGAAGATGCCTGTGTGGTGTAGCTTACAAAATATTACAATAACATGAGTTAAATGAAGGTAAAACAGTTAATAATAATAATAATAATTAACAGTTTATTGAAAAAGTCGGCAGCCCGAAGGCTGAAAATATACATTAGACAAAAATTACTTATTACATACAAAGACATGGGGTGGGAGGGTCGTTTAACAAAAAGCTTTCATTACTAAAAGAAGAAAGAACAATGATTGAACATACAAATTATTATAGTTTACAGTTGATGGCCTGGGCGTGGGATGGTCGTGGAGACACCAGGTGGTGAGGTGTTCACATGGTGTAGTAACTCGCCCTCGGGTGTTGAAATGAGGGACCTCACGTGGTCATGGAGACATCGGGTGGCGTGATGCTCACGTGGTGTGGTAACTCGTCCTCGGGTGTTGAAATGAGGGACCTCACGTGGTCATAGAGACACCGGGTGGTGTGATGTTCACGTGGTACAATGACTCGTCCTTGGGTGTTGATATGAAGGACCTCACGTAGTCATGGGGACACCGTGTGGTGTGGGGTGGTGTCACAGTACCTCACTCTGCGCGGTGATGTTGTGTTATCACGTAGTCAGGTGCATAGCCGACCGGCCCTCTGTTGTTCCCAGTGTGGTCAGAAGATGGTGGTTAGTTCCCAGGGGTGCTTATCTCAGTGGTGGGTCACGGCTCTTACTGGTACTGTCTAGTGCTGAATTAACTGGCTTAAACACTGTTCATCACTGTTCAACACTGATCCCACTTCTTTCCAAAACAAAATTGTCACTTTTGATTATGTAGATATCCCGGTGGTGAGGATGGGTCGGGGAGAGGGACTTGAGGAATGGGCCGACATTGGCCAAGGGAGGCAGCTGCATAGCGGGAGCAGCGCCTGAATAGGTCTTGACGCTACGGTGGTCAAAGATGTTGTGCAAAGATCTAAAATTAGGTACAGTTAGAAGGATCAGAAATACTTCCTTCACCAGTTGCATCAACATACAGTACTGTAAATTTAATCATATGTATTCATTCTCTTTACAATTGTTAAGTCCAAGTTTATATTACAGGAAGAGTTATGTACAGTCACTCAAAAAACTATCTATAAAAAATTGCGTTGAGAAAATATAACAACGGACGGAGGATTTTGACAACCCTACCGAGACAACAGGAGTCACAGTGTTCATTCTGACATTCATCCATCACCTCAAGTATAGATAGTTTTTTGAGTAACTGTGCCTGCCTATGGTCAAGAATAATTAGTACTCCGTATGTTATTTCTCATTTATATGCAGTTATTTTATCAGTTTATTTACCTTTTCTCTTGTTTAGTTACTAGATAGAGGATATAATTACTGATATAACTATACTTTATATATGTTATCTCGGTATTAGAAATTGCCAATATCCAAAGACTTTTAGAAGCTGATTCAAGTGTTTCTTCTGCAGGGTTCACCCCAACGAGCCAAAGGACAAATGGGTATTGAATCCTATTTTAAGAGTCCCAAGGCAATGTCTTCAAAGAATGTTGAAGAGAAGGATAATCTGTTGGGCTATGTTAAAAAAGTACCCGGAATTCTAGGGATAAAAACTCAAATTGAAACGGAACCCCAAGATAATCCTGCCTGTGTTGAGACAAGTGAAATTTTAGCAAAGGCATCAATACATAAGGAAGGTGAAGATAATAAAGGATGTGATGTAAATGAAAATGTTCCTAAAAATAACAAGAAAAAGAGAAATGGGATCCGGAGGAAAAACAGTAAAGGAAATAAAGGAGAAAAAATAGAGAAACTTAATGATAATGTAGAGGTGCCAGTTGATGATAATACAGTAGTCCCAGTTGAAATGTGTGAAGAACAGAATCCTAGTATAGAATCAACAAATTTAGAAGCAACACATCCAGAAATTAAGGAGTCAGATGTCAGCAAATTAAATAAAATCCAGGAACAATCACAGCTCGGCAAAACACACTCAGAAACGTCATTGAACGGTGACTTAAAATTGCCCGAGTTAAGTAAAAAGGAAAAGAATATTTTTGCCTTTATGATGGCTAGCAGAGGTAATCAGAATGGTCTAGATGAAATGACTGACCAGGAAGAGTGTACTAAGATTAAAAATCCCACAGCAGATAAAATTCCTATTCAGAGTTCATGCAAGAATAAAGAACTTGTTGAAATTCTTATTGAAATTAATGTAGATGGGGATCCAAGTACTGAAGCCAATGCTTGTGGTCTAATTGCTGTATCAGATGATGGTGGAGGTGTGAATAATGATGCCCAGGTCTTAAAGGAGTGTAAAAGTTTGTCTCATGTCAGCGGCAATGTGTTTGCTTTCATGATGGCAAATCGTCAAAAACAGGAGAAGTTGTTAGCTAAAAACGAAAATTCCCAGGAGGACTCTGCAGGCCTTGTACCAGACGCACATCCCAAAGGCCAGGAAAAGGGTAAGCAAAATGCCCTCGCCGATCCAGACACCAGCGGTAAAGGCAAAGTGGTAACTCGGAAAAGGAAGCATAAGAAAGACGATCTCGATGATTCTCTTCGGGATTTTGATTTATCGCCCGATAAAAGCATCAAGAAAACGAGGAAACGCTTGAAGAAATCCAAAAATGCATCAGAGCAAACTATTAAAAAACAAACTGATCAAGAAATGTTACACGATGAACTGGAAACTTCAACTAGGGAAGACACATCTACAAATAGCAATCCGGTGTTGACAGTTCTAGACTCAACAGGTTATACTGAGAAGACTTACTGTGTGGATTCAAATGAGCTGGAAATAGCACCATCTTGCATATCGGTTTCCTTTGCAGACTATATAAAAGAAGCCTCAGAAAGACTCGGAGATAATAATATGAAAGATGTAATAAATGCAAAAGACAGTGGTATGGAAAGTGAAACAAGGCAATTAGTTGCCAAAGATATTAACCATAAACCTGATAATAACATCATTGATAAACCTAAAAAGATGAAGAAAGGGAAAGATGAGATAATTGATAATACTGAGAACATTCATATTAAAAAGAATAAAAAAAAGAATTTAAGCACAGATACACAAAATATTCCTCAAGGCAACTCGAAAACTCAGGTTGTGGGTAAACGCCAGAGGAGGAAATTGAGAAAAAGAGTTCAGTGTACACTCGATTCAGATGATGACTTTGAGGTGTCTGAAGTTACGACTGTCTCGTGTGAGAAGAGGAAAGACCGCCGTCGCCAACGCCATCCACCAGATACAACAGAAGAAACGGGGAATTCATGTACTCTGGAGGGTGTACTTGTAGAGCCCTCCAAGAAGAATATTTCAAATTTCTTTCAAAAGCTAAGCCAGAAGGAGAAGGCAGCTGAAAGACAAAGAAATATATTCACGGTTAAGGCAGATGTACATGCCCCTTATGATGGACCGAAGGCAAAAGCCACCGTGGAAAGCAAAGGTGTTGAAAGTAGCGACTGTGATAGGCACCAATTGAAAACCACAGTCGTCGATAAAGAAAACGTCATCGAGAATTGCACCGAGGGAAGCAATCGAAGGTTGAGTAAGAGATTAAAGAAGAAACAAGAGATAGAAGATTTAAATAAGATTGAATTACTGGAACAGATTACCATCGCAGTCTCGCCAAAGAAGCGTCAAGGCAACTCGCTGACGATCGACGTTATCACAGTTACCGAAGAGCAGCAGAATCAGTCGGGTCAAGAAAGTGGTGCATCAGGCAGTCGTGGGGAATCAGACACTGCTGCTTGTAAAGAGAAGAAGAAGATAAAAAATGCATTAGATACGACTCCAAGGAAAGTGTTGAAGACGTCTCAGGATCAAAATGTTATAAAGGTGAATAACTCAGATGTGTCAGATTCTGGCCTAGTTTCTGAGAACAACGTGAAAAGAAGGTTAAGATTAAGCTCATCCAAGAAGCGAGAGAAACTTCTGCACAGCGACATAATTACTAAAGTTGAAAACAGTGGAGAAGAATCAGTTATGAGGAGATCCTTGAGGCAAAAGAAACCAAAATTACTGGGACTAGAGGGAGAGACTTCTTCTAAGACAAGCACCACCAAGAGTCTTAAAACTAGTCAGATTCAGATCTCAGACGAGTCATCGCCATCAGCGGAATCTAACTGTGACATAAGCTCGGGTTCACTTTTGGAAACTGACGTAACAGGAATCGAGTATTCTTCACCTGAACTGAATGAGGGTGATAAGGAGAACAGTATCGTGTACACCTCGACTTTCATCCATAAATCTGACAAGCTCCGGTAAGTATCATTTCTTCATGTACAGGATAATAACAAGATTTGGGGGATTCTTCAATGTGGGGTTTTAGCATTAGCAGCTGAACGCCTACAACTTTAACTACTCTGTGCCTCTGCCTTTGACATTCCAGGAACTACCCAAAGTGATTAGAGCTTGTTATCTAGTCCACAGGTTAGCCAGGAAATTGTGGAGGGAAGTAATTATCAAGAATATATACTGTACTGGTATGTTCTGTGCAGTGATATGATCAGACTTTATTCCTACTGATTCTTAGGTTCATGTTTATTGAACATCCTAAAATTATCATTTAGTGTTCTTGAATAAAGTTACCCTAGTTAACTTTGACAGTCTAGGCTGATTTGGATAAAACTTTACAATATGAATGATTAAGATTCAGCTTGGATGCAATATATTAGACACAACCTCCGCATGTAATTACGTTGCTGCATTCCCATTGGTCGATTGTTTCCTCTCGGGTAATTCATGTCGCTGCTGTGGTCAAACTCCACCTGATCAGTACAATGCCTGCCAGAGCCTGTTGTTGTATGATTGTGGAAAAAAAGAATTCAGCAGGGAAGGAATGTAAGCTGCACCTCTCATAATCAAACTAAAAAAAATCAGTTTGTGGTGTGAGAAAAAACAACTTAGACTTTTAATCATCTCATTGCAACGTTGCCAAGTCTCTACATACTCCTACCCTCCCATACACCATCTCCCTCCCTCCCTCCCTCCCTCCCTCCCTCACTATTGTCCACAACATTGGTATGATTTTCGAGATTTAAGTATTATTAATTTTCTTCAGTAAGTTCATCTGCACTGCCAGGAAGGACATAGCTGACATTCTCACCACTAATAATATTTTGCTATTAATCATGACCCTTATATTAGTTATGGTTGGGAGCCTTAGTTTAAAATGCATGTATTATTGTTGAATTTTTTAGGTGATAGCATATTTAATTCAGTAGTGTAGTGTTAAGTGATCATACTGTATATACTTACAAAAGCCGTAGCATTAGGATATTTACTCAGGTGAAGTAAGCTGGTGTCTGTAATCTTCAGGTAATCTCTCTGTCTCTCTCTCTCACCCAAGGCTGGTAGAGATGTCTTCTGGAGGGGGTTACCTTATATTGTATGATGACTCGAAGCACTTGAATGTTCTCCCTGAAACTTGAGTGTCTTGGCCATTCGTTTTAGGTTGAGACATTGTGAGAGTTCACACTTTGATCTCTGACTTAGTATCTTAAGTAACTCATCAGAACAACCATGTATGGTCTTATTATAATTACAGATGTGGGTATTTTTGTCTTTTTCAGTTTAAGGATAAAAAGAATCAATACTGGGAAAACTAAATCCTTGAACGTCAAGCAAAATAGCCAACTTCAGAAGAATTCAGCCCAAAAGAAAGCCAAAAAGCTGTTACAAAAGGCCAAGGGACCCAAAAATAGCCCCAAAACTAAAAAACTTCGTGGGAAAAAGAAAAAAGCTGTCCTGGTGAACGCAGCTGACGGTGCGAGCAAGGAGAACGTCGTACTGGTAAACATGGCTATGGTCGAACCTGACTTAGTTGTGGTTGAACACAGTCCACCCAAGAATACTAAGAAAAAAAAGTCAACCCAGGCATTGCTTAAGCCACTTAGACTGAGTACAGCCCCAAGTAAACAAAACCTCAAGAAGGGAAAACCTGCTTCCCAAAATTCAAAGAAGAAAATAAAAAAAGTAACAGCGACTAATGATCGAACTACAAATAACACCAAGAAAACTATAAAGGAACAGAAGCACGCAGAAAACAAAAAGATAAACAAAAACAACAAAAAACAAATGCCCGCTAAAGGTAATAATATATATCATGATGATCAGTTGACCTTTATATTAGTCTCACTCCTTCCCCAGGCAGCTACAGTCTCACTCTATTTACTGTCATACATTTACTCCACTGCTATAACAGATACAATATATATCCTACTGTAGTACTTCCCCCCTCCACAACAGGGCCCCAAATACCCATCCAGTTTACCTCTGACACTTCACACAACTTAGTATCAATAATCAACAATATATCTTGTCCCCTGAAAGATACATTCAGTGACTATTTATGCTGTCTAAACATTCTTATACTTGATGGCTTCTTGAATGTCCAACCTTTTAACTTGTGTGTCTTTTACTCAATTCTTCCATATTAGTCTTGGTTTCATTTATTGTAATGCCTATTATTTTTGTTCCCATTCACTATCACTTTATTCCCATAGGTAGTCTTTCAATCTTTGACTAACAGCAGCTAACATACACTAACTACATATAAACCTTAATGTACTCTTTTTCCCCCCATTTGTCGTTGATTCAGTCAAGAGTAATACAGACTTTCATTTGATTTGTTTTTCATTCTCTGTTGTATTGTAATAGTTGTGTTCTATAGTGTTCCCTTCCAGAACAAAACTTTTAGATTAATTTGAGTTATCTGTAGTGCGTCATTCAACCCAACCACGCACACTAACACCAACTCCTTTTACGTGAATGTTTTGACGGTATGGTTGCCTGTCATTCAAATATACCATTGCTTTTTCGTTGTCCAGTACCTTCCCATCCTTGTATCACAGGATTTAAAATGCATTCATCTCAGACTGGTGGCAGTGTTTATTTAGTGTGTGTGTGTGTGTGTGTGTTTATAACCCCTTAGATGTACCATCCCCATTTTTATAACAGGATGGTTATCACTATATAAAAATGCCATACTTACAGAAACAAAACTGGCACCAATATTTTGCAAGAAACCTAAGTCACCGCCGTGTATAGAGGTGGTGAAGGTTGTGTCGCTGTCTCCGGCTAAACTGAAGGCCCGTCGAGACTTCCTAAAATCTGGCATCCCTGACGAGCTCAAGAAGCAGGTGTCTACAGAGAGGAGGTATGATATGACTCTTGGTACTCTGAGGTTGTGTTTTAAAGTTGACTTATTTAAAGCTTTTAATGAAAATGATAGAAATTAATGGGAACTGTTTCTGTTCTGGATTCCAGCCAATGTACTACTGATTGGGAGAAAGCTTGAAATTGTAAACAAAATTAAATACAAAAACTGAAATTTGCTAATCTTGTCCTTTGATTTTGTTTCTATCAGAGGAAATTGTGTTTATTTAAATGTCTTTTACCTTAACGCTTTTTACTGTTTATCTCCAGATGTACAGTAGATAAAACAACTATCTTGCATACTTTGTGGGAAACAATATGAGACCATGGACGATAAATTTTGGTATATGAGGGCTGTCACTAGTCACACGTAAAATTTTGGAGCATATCGATCCCCACCTGCACAGATAGTTGTTTTAGCTACTGTACATATATGTAGTAAATTTATGGGAAAGTCACGTGTATCATTTAGGGTTGTCAAACTGCCTCTGCATGGGGTGAAATTACTGGATTTTCATATTAAGACTGGATTTTGTCAGGTAGAAATTGCATATGTAAGGGATGGGTTTGTGTGTGTTTCAGGTCTGGTCAGAAGATAAGTGAGTTTTCATTTTACTGGTATTAAGTTGTTATTTCTTAGGTGTACAGTACTTCACTAAGGATTACTATTTCACATTTATCCCCAACAGTCAGGAGGAAGAGCTGAATAACTGGTCACTGTTCCCTAAAGTTAGTCACGTTCAGCAGAAGAGTGAAGATGAAGCCATGTGGAGTCTCACCGTCCCAGAGGTGAGTTTTCGTGGTGTCGTGTGAAGCTGTAGAGAATTGCATAACTGACTCCAGGCACCCTTCAGGTTACTGTGGTATTCCGTTCTAGAAAATCACTCCTAAATCTTTCCTTTATGCCTGTCACAACTTTCCATTACAATGTGTTTGCAAACTTCACGTAAGACTTCCATTCCCGAAAACCATTAAAAAATCGAGGGATCCCTGTATGTCAGATCTTAGGTTATGTTCAGTCCTAACTAAAATGGCTTTATAGTGTGATTTTCCTCCTAGGGTTTCAAAGTGTTTATTTATATGTGTTTTTCTCTTTCAGATTCCTCTACGAGATGTTGATTTCGGGGGTCATGATCTGGGTGTGAGACTGGACAAACCCATTTACGAATATGGTATTATGTCTTTGTTAGAGAAACCCGACTGCATTTCGCGAACGTTCCGGGTTCACGTGCCAACTCTCGACTTGCCGGATATAGTTTCAGTCTTGGCTATTATGAAACACGAGAACCCAAAGTTTCCCGTCTATCGTGTTTTCAAGTCTTACCACAGCATGAAAAGAGATGCTGTCGAATCATATAAAAAGGAATTGGAGAAGGAGGAGATAAGTTTGGTTGTCTTGGACGATGACGAAGACATGAAAGTAAAGAGAAAGCGTAAGAGAAAGGGCAGAAATTTGGGGCTGAGCAAAAGCAAGCGATCAAAACTCGGAGGAAAGCGAGCGGTGGCAGAAGTGACAGAGGAAAAACCGACCATTCCACCGTGGCAAGAGAGAACTCCTCACTCGTGGACCCAAATATTTGCTCCTAAAAGTGGCAAACAAGTTATAGGAAACAGAGGTAAGATTAATTAATTAATTTATTTATTTATTACCATTGATTGTAGGATATGCATAAATGTTTCCTTATGTTAATTAACTTTAGCTGTTAAATTTGTCAAAGGCAATATATTAGGCTATTAGCATTGTCTCTATCTATCTGTTTCATGATAAAGTGTGTATTGTCGTCCCCCTTGATCTAGTAGAGGAGGAGGAATACATGCCATCTGCATATGTGTCCGTGTATTCACCTCTCGTGTGTTCGAGGGTAGTGAACGTGGTAACTGCTTCTTCATTTATATATTCCCTCTTTCCTCTCATATCTTTTGTCCTATCCGTCCCTCCTACCGCTGAATCGTACATCTTATCGTTGCAGGACATGTGAAGCAGCTCAGGACATGGCTACAAGAGTGGAAGAGAAAGAGTCAAGTAGATGCAAATAAAGAAAAAAAGAAAAAGAAGAAGATATCAAGAAAAGGTAAGTGACTTGCGAGGGATTTGTTTACATATTCAAGGATTAATTGGCTCTCGTGATCCCAGGCATAACAACTAATGATAAATATGCTAAAAGGAAATACTGTAATACCATCTACATACAAATAATGAAAAGCTAAACGTGGCAAAAATAAGTCTTTATAGAATGATCATTAAGAGTTATATTCCTGTGCAATGGGTGAAATTGGATAGTAATGCATATAGGGTAATTATCAATAAAAGAGAAGAGTTGGAGGATTAGCTACAGATCTACCTGCACTTTAGAGATGAAATGTTGCAGAATGGAAGATTGATGAGAACTTTATCCCACAAATCAATGTTGATAAGTTATTTAGGGCTTCCAAAATAGACAGTTTCATGGTACTGTTGTTCTCTTAACCATGAAAATTTGTCACTAGTACTGGTTGAACTGCGAGGTCGGTGGTTCCTGGTCGGGGTTCCCCAAAGCACAAGTTTTTATTTTTCCGCTTGTTGATGGGAACACAGTACATAGGTGGATGGATGAATTGATGAATAAACAGGGAGATGGATGAATGTGTATGTAGATAGATGGTTGGCTGGATGAATAAGTAGTTAGAACAGTGAATAAGTAAGTACTGTAGAAATTTGGATGAATTGGTAGGTAGAATGAGGCAGTTGATAGCATACAGTTAATTTCAGCACAAATTAACAGGGAATTTCCTATGTTAACAAAACTTCTTACTCTATTCTAGGAGACAATTTTGTGAAATCTGACGAGTCCAGCAGTTGGGACGAAGAGGATGACTCCGTAAACACCTACCTTCTCTCTGGACCTCCCGGCATTGGCAAGACCTCTACAGTGTATGCCTTAGCTGCTGAACTTGGCTATAAGGTAAGGTACTGTTCTGTAAATTCATCCCAAAAGAATACAGAAGTAAAAATGTATTACAAATGTATTATTTTACTGGTGTTTTTATGCATCATTCAGAGTGTTGCCTCCATAAAATATACTCAGTTAGGTATAATTTTAACAACTAAACTGTCAGTACATCATTGTTCACAGGTGCTGGAGGTAAATGCATCCTCTCGTAGACCTGGCCGCCAGGTTATGAGTCAGCTGGCAGAGGCAACACAGTCTCACTCAGTGTCAAGTAGTTCATCAGCTCACCCTTTGAGTACAGTAGCATCAATGTTTGCAGCTAAGATGTCTGGATCAACTCTTGGTGCTGTGAAGAAAGGTATGTATCTATGGCGGTTTTACTATGTTATTCAATAGTATAGAACAATCGTTGTGTCATGCATAGAGAATTGCCATTACATTATGTTTCTGGGATTTCTAAATAACCATCTATCCATTGTACTTGTCCAGTCAAAATATTAAAATCACAAAGGGTTGTAAGGGAATTTATGTGATTTACTATGTCTCCACTTTTACTCTCAAGATAATTGCCTTAACCAGCCAGTTAACAGCACAGAGGGAACTGGAGGAGGTCTTGTGTTGTTACCTGCAATCAATGTATGTTAAGTTTTTTGTGCATTTCCTTCCAGCAATGCCGTCAAGCCTGAAGGATGCCACTCAAGGATCTGGGAAAGATGTAGAGAAGAGGAAGGATGTCTCTCTTGTCTTGTTTGAGGATGTGAGTCAAATTTGTATATTAATTTAAGTGATATTTAATGTTGGTATTTGCTTTCTTTTTTCTTTTCTGTTTTTTCCTTTTATCATTTGTCTCTTTTATTGGTACAGGTATATGAAGGGTGTTCATAAATGATTACCCTGATTAAAACATGAGAGCATACTGTTTTTAGGGTAATCATTTATGGACACCCTGTAGTTTTTATCTGGAGAGGGGAATCCATTCTATAGAAGTTCCACTGTAACTATGTCTTTACCACAGATTGACACAATGATAAGTGTGCACCATAACAATGTGTAATTTAACAGCTTCATTCTGCATTAAAGAGGTGGTTATTACTCGTATATATATTATGATTCGTATTTTGTTTTCCAGTCCGACACGCCAGTATTTTTAACTTTTTGTTATTTTTTATAGATCGATATCGTGTTTGAGGAGTGGGACGAGGGGTTCATCTCGGCCGTCAACAGCTTCATAGCAACGACCAAAAGACCGATCATCCTAACAGTTAGTCATTCATCACCAGCTGTATTGTCCAGAATTAAGGGGAGATACGAGAAGATTAATTTTGTCACCCCACCAGAGGGTATTATTGGTAAGTACAGGGTAATAGAGTTTATACCACTGCTTGAAGACATAACAGGTTTGTAATTGAGTTTGTAGACCATCATAGTATTTATAGGTTTGTATCTGTGGTATAATTTAGTACAGAATACAAGAAAAACTGTATTTATATCCATTTGAATGTACAGGTAATGAATTATATATCTTACAGTAGTTGTGGATTTATTCTAATGGTTTTAAATTAAAGTTTTTCAATATTACATAGATAAATTACCTACTGTAGTTATCTTTCCTTTACAGCCCATCATTTACAGTTGTTGTGTCTGGCCAATGGATATCACGTGTGTTACAAAGATCTGGAGAGTCTTGTCCATATCAACAAGGGTGACATCAGACAGTCCTTCCTTGACCTTCAGTTGTTAGCTGTGTCGGGCTCGTCCCATGACACGTGTCGGTGTGGAACATCTGAGGTACCGTATGCTGGAGTCACACTGTAGTATCTTATTCACTTTTATTAGCCCATCCTCTACTGTGTTATTTCTCTTCCATAAAAAGGTCCTAACTATTAATCTGGTTTATCTGTCACTTCACACAACCTCACATCAATAGCAATAATGATCCTAACTATTTCCTTTGATGTTGCTTGAAATTTTTATTTATATAAGTATATAATATTTTCATACTGCAAAATACATTATCATTTTTTTCTCATCACCGGTATCAAGATATATAGAAATAATTTTCCATATTCTCCATACTAGACTTTATTGATTGTTGTTATGATTCCAGATGATGAATGTATCAAGTACTGAATGTGACAACATCCTTGAAGGCTCCAAAAGAAAAGATTTGAGCATAGTTGATATATTCCCAGAAGCAACAAACATTGAGCTTCACAATGTTAGGCTGTTCACAGCCGGGTTTTGTGGCAAGATTCAAGCTAAGGCAGCCATAGATGATAGGATCTTTGACCTAAGACAAGTTGGAAGTGACAGTGTGCCAAAGATAAGAGGAGATATATCATGGACACAAATTGCAAACAATCTTAGCTTTATTCTTCCATTTCCTTTGAGAGAGAAGGAGAAAAAAGTACCAGTATACCCACTCCAGCCTCATGATCCCAAGCTGAAAACAACTCCTCTGTGGCAGCGCAACAGTTGGTTGTCTCTACATGACGAAGAGGAGGAAGAAGAGTTCACTCAACCAGAAACTGTAGAAAAGGAAGAAGAACCCGTAGAAGAAATTAAAGTACCACCAATTGTACAAAATGCATCTAAGCTTTCCTTGAATTCATTGGTTAATTTATATGACACATTTACTCAGTTAGATATTTTAGAGTCTTCTCAACAATTGAGTCATAATAGAACCCAAATTAAGGAGTGTGGATGGTGGGTGCAGCAGCCAACTGCAGGGCTCAGTGAAGACCCAAGAAATCCTCATCCACATTGGACATCCTATGATAATATAAACAATATAACTCAAGAACTGGGACAAAGGGCATTGATTCAATGCAATGGAGAAATCAGCTCCATTCTTACAGCAGTCACTCCAGAAGATTGGCCACAGCTGTGCTTGATTAGTGACAGCAATTGTCGAATGCCAAGTCTTTTGCCGCATTTTTCTCCTAACGACAGGTAAGGAAAGATAAGATGCTTATTCTACTATGAAAAATGTGTTGTTATAGTTGATAGTTGTGTGCCTTGATAATATGTGTTGGAATAATGAAGGTGGTGACAGGGATTAGAAACTATACATGATTTAACTTCTTAAATATTTGCACTTGTATCCCCTCACACTTCTCTGTTTACTCATAAGCCTGATATCAATCCACGGTCACTAGAATTAAGCCTCTCCACGGAGCTCTACTTCTTAGTACTTCCAGCCATCTCTTCAGCTCCTTCAGTCCTTCATTGTTTACATCAGTCATCAGATTATCACTTCATGACTTTCTTGTCTTTCCCCATAGGTCTATGACTCTATGTCCATGGATCATTGTTTTAATATTCACCGACGTTCCTAATTATCTGCCGTCAAATCTGGTCAGTGCTCTAAATCCAAATTACTATGGAATCAGAAACCTTATTCTTTCATAAAAACTTGAATAAATGCAGAATTAATTACACAGGAATCATCTGCTTCATGTGTCTAGGTTCTGAAACTCCTCTGTGTTGTCCTTAAAATGAATACAGTATAGATGAGGGAGAAATTGGTGCAAAAGTCCCCAATTATATATAAAAAATTTTGGCATAATTTTGTTGGTATTTACTCTGTATATGTGGATTAGGATACAAGTAATGTAATCAACAATTAAATGTTTATTTGCTAACTAAAACTAAATACTCATCTGTCTTAATTTTGGACTAATTTTTTAGCCCTCATCTCTTGCCCTAGCCTCAAGGATATTGTATAATGTAAGTACAGTACATACCTCCCCTCCCCTCCTCTCTTCTCACCTACCAACAGGTCAGCCAGGTCCATAGTTCCATGAATATTTGAGACTTTACTTTATACTGTTTACAAGGATCAAGTTTAAGTATGAACCATCAGGCAGTAAGTTGAAATTGATTCTTAAAACAATCTTTTCTTATCTGGTGTAGAAAAAAATAAAACATGACCATAGTTGATCTCTTATCGATTAATTTCATAATTGGTTGCTTCAATTATCTGTGTTTGTCTAATGATTTATAGTAGGTAAACCCTGAACCTTATGATCTGCCATTTTAAAGTCAAAATGTCCTGCTTAAGCTCTTCACTATGGGTTGCCACTTTTAGTATTTTATTTGGAAAATGCCAGATGATTTTATTCAGCATAGAGAAACACAAGGAGTTAAACGTTAATAAAAACCCAAATGATACCCGTCTCCTCAGGTTTCTAAGGTAACCAGAGGAGATGATAAGTGATATGGGAGAATAATTTGAAGGTACAGTATATATATACAGTATAATGAAAACAAAACAAGGAATATTGATGTCATTAAAAATTACGGGATTAGAATAGGAAATCGTGACAGTAAATGATAAAAGGTGTACTGATGAAGTAGGAATATATAAAGTAAAGGAAGAAGAATATTAAAAGATCTTAAAAAATGATTTAGGTTCTTATGGTTTTAGAAGTATTTTACCTTACAGATGACAGTACTATATATAAAGTTGATTTTACATTAATATTTCTCTCTCAATAGATATTTTATCCCTAGACACCTCGACAGTAATCAATTCTTGTTTTTACAGTGAAAGAAGTAGTCAGTGGGCTGCCATGGCAAGTATAGCTGCTAGTTTACCTCCTGTGAACCAGCTAAGTAGAAGTATATCCCTAGATTACTTCCCCACAATCAGAAGCTTTATCCGGCACGATGAACTCGGCGCAGCACTCAGTAAAAGGCGAAGAGGACGGCGGTACTTGGGCCACTTTACACAGCTGGGTTTCGATGTATCAGTAAAAGATAAGCTAAAAATGGCAAATGCAATGATCACTTAGTATGGTGTGTGTAATTAGGTCTAAATTTTGTGTTTAGTTTATTTATATATTATTTATTACAGAAGAGACTAAAATATTATTTGGAATTCTATTTAAAAGATAATTTTATTCAATGACCAAATTTGTTTGTTTAGGAATGTGTGTTAATAAAGTGACAAAGTGTGTAGAGTAGTATTATTTCATATTGTGTCTGTCTATGCAAGTGCGCTGCAAACCTTTTCTTGTTTTGACGAGGTAAACAAAAATTGTGCTTAACAAGGCACCCAAAGACAGAATTTTATGGGCCAAATCAAAGGAGGCAACACTACACAGTATGAAGATCTTTTAACTAACTTATAAATATATTTTAAGCATATCATTAACTTTCTTACAGACAGTTGAAACATGGAGGTGCATATATGGTAACTGGCACCCTTCAGTATCTAACCTGTTATACCCCACCTCATCCTCCAACACACACACACTTGCAGATCTTGTCGTGCGGCTCAAATCGTGTCTATCCCGTCATTCTCTCTAACTGTTGTAAATTGTGTCATTTGTTATATTTTCCTCTTCCACAACGGTCCTAAGATAAAAGTGTCAGTTTGGTTTATGTTCACAAAACATTAAACCATTTATTCCACGATTAAAATAAATGGGGTTTTATATTTCGAATGGTCATTTTCTTTGTTGTAGTAGATGGAATTTTAAGTGTGTGAAGATTCAGAGGCTTGTGGCTTGTTTATTACTCATGCCTTTCTGAGTGGTATTATAATTATTTTTACTGTTTAATGATCATATCCCTTATGGCTATGTTGTGGAAGGGAGTACCACAGCAGGACATCTGTACAGCAGTAAGAATGAATGAAGGGAGAAACTCGTATATACAGTACAGTCTCTCCTCTACTTACGACAACTCGAACATACGACGGCCACGGTCGTATAAAATATTTTTCATATTACGTATTTTCGAGTCCCGACGTTAGTGATCGCTCTGTGTACTGACAAAATTTTCGTTTGTAATTCCCTTTAAAATGGCTGGCAAGTGTAAAAGTGAGAGTTCTCGTGGTGCTGAGAAGAAAAAGAGACACCCATTTTAGAATTTCTATGTATTATTTTCGTCTTTTCAACTTACGACCCGGACGTCGGGACGGAACCCCGTCGTAAGTCGAGGAGAGACTGTACTTGCTCTTGATTCTGCCCACCATACATTAAACAAGAAGAGGCTTGTAAAATTTAAAAAATATATATTTTATAGCAACTTTTTGTATATTTGTGACTCAAAAGTTGCTACTTAGGTTTGTATTTTTAGTAAGCTGACTAAAGTGTTTCAGCCAGGATTTTGAGACAATTATTTAAAGTAAGTAAGTGGAACACTTAAACTTATCTCATTTTATCCATATTGCCCAAGTATAAGTCATCATTTTCATCGCTGTTTTGAGACCATTTTCCACACTTGTGTGGGTTAAGTAGGATTAACTACATATATTGAATGATTGAGAAATAGGCTTGGATACAGGTATAGGATGTAATGAGAAGAATTTGTTTGCACAGTACAGTACAGTATCCATCATTTGTATATAAGTTACATAGTTTTAGGTTGAAGGCCATAATAGTCGACTATGGGAAGGGTCTCCAGAACAGTGCTAATGGAGGAAGGCTCTCATGAGACAAAAGAAGATGAAGAAGAGATTTTACATTGACTATAGGATCGTAATCATGCTTGAAACTACTGTACTGTATTTTAATGTCCTCAAAAATCAGAGTCTGTATGCATGAGTCCAAAGTAAGAATTTGTCTGGGTTCAGATCTACAGAATTTTTTTTCAGCCACTTATCGGCTTACTAGGCGTTCGGGCGGTTGGTACAGGAGGAAACCGGAGACCGAGAAACTTGTGATGTTTTCTAGTGAGGGTCACACTGGATAGCACCCTTGTCACGTGTGTCCAGGCTGAGGCTCGAGCCCTTAACATATTGGTGAGAGTTACGCGTGTTGCCGCTGTAATAAAAAAAAAAGGTTTCCTGAGAATTGAATCCCATTTGGTACACTATATACTGACTGTACAAGGTAGTGTAAATATTTTTGTGTGTATGTGTAAGAGAGAGAGAGAGAGAGCACTTACTATTAGAACAAGTGTGATAGATAATTGTCTCCAGGTTGAATTTTATCTGCATTATTAAAAACAAAATAAAAATCATACCAAGTGAATATTTAATGATTTTATTCTTAAAATTTAAATTGTATACAGTATAGTTATAATGTTAATATGAATAGGAATTAATATCCTTAATATAACCTAGACCAATTTAATGTGATATCCTCTCTCATCCTGTACTGTTCAGACCTAACCACATAGGAGTGACTAATCGAACTGCTTATATGGTGTTCATACAAGAGAGTTGGGTAGGTTTATGTGTATGTACAGTACTTCTTAACTATGAAGAGTTAGTTATGTGAATGTACTGTAGATTATTAATTTTAGCTAGTTATGTGAATGTAAATTATTAATTTTAGTTATGGGAATGTATATTATTAATTTTAGCTAGTTATGTGAATGTAGATTGAAGATTTTAGATTAGCATTTATTCAAAACTATTGTGTACTGTATATATATATTATAAAAAAAAAATAACAATCTTGGATGTGTGCTCACTGCTGTATGGTAGAGGTGGTGAAGAGTATACAGTATGTGTAGAACTCTGAAAGTCTTTAGTGATTTATGAAGAACTAATTTGTCACTGTATCATACACTGTACAAGGTGTCTCATAGGTTACACACCATTGGAAAATTAATCTCTCTCTCCAAATCAACAAAGATGGTAATGAAATTAATACTCTTATGCCTTGGTGATGTCAATTAGATTCTTCTCTAATTGATTGGTATGTAGTATCTGGCATTCCATACAAGAATATTAAACTCATTCATTCCTTTAGTGTTGATTTCAGATTTATCGTTGTTGATTCATTGTGATTCCCTCCCCAGAGAAAGAGAAAAATAGGGAAGAGGAGAGAGAGAGAGGGAGATAATTGATTTTCCTATGGTGTGTGATGTACTGTATGGGATACCCCATACAGTATTTCATTATATCGTACTTGTAGGTAACATTAACAACCAATTATGTCGATTTTTTATTTGTTGAAACTTTGTTGTGCAATAGTTGTTTGGTATTTAACTTCTCTGTGCAAAGGTACCATGAAATTGAGGACGAGGCCGCAACTTTAATCTTTGTAGTAACTATAGTAACTCAAAAGTATGTTTACTAAGTGTTTGTTTATACATCCTGATTCATTATCTTTCCAGAATTCAGATTTGGAAACTTTAGAATATTTAATTACATGCCCGGAAGTATGTGATATGTTAATGGTCCAATAATTACTAAGTGTCTTAAAGTTGGTGCCTTAACCTAAGTAGAAATTATCAAGCGGTACAAAATTCACTTTAGACATGTATAGAGTTTTGTATAAGTTGTAAAATATAAGTACAAAATTTGTTTAGTAATTGAACATAAACAGTGTGCCTTTAAATGTTCTATTAGACACTTTACTGGATGCTTTCTATATACAGTAAGCAAGTGGACAGTATTCCTCAAATTATTTTATAATTGTATGCACTATAAGGCCAAAGAATGTGTCCTTGATTCTGGTCTACCGTAATGTACAAAACAAACTGCATTTTATCCATAAACACATTTTAATTTCCTGAATGTATTGGTTATGGTATAATATCTTGTGAATAAGTATATGTCTATCTCCTTCTGATATATCCCTTATGTTATCGTATCTCTTCACTTTAGTCTATGAAAAATATCTCCTTAGGTATTCCCTTTGTGTCTTTCCCTCTTCATCTGAGTATTCTTGCCTAAGTGTTGAGTATAGTCATTACTTCTCAGATGTTCAGGAGATAAGATTTGGGTCATAGGGTGAAAGGTCAAGGTCACAGCTAAAAACTGACTACCTATATAAATGTGAATGAAAATGCAGTTCATCCATTAAATTTATTTAGAAATTAATAGTAATTGGTTGCCGGGAAATGCTGTAGGACTTGTATTTATTTATTGTACCAGTATATGATTATCACTCAATATACAGTATCATTAAAACAAAAACTCCTCAAATGTAGATTCACCTGAAATGGACTGTATAGGATTTAGACCTCCCAAGTCTGATATGCTACAGAGAAACCCAATTACTGTACCTGAACACAAATATGATTCACATGGCCAAGCAAACAGTGTGGCATGAAGGGAGGGAGTTGGCCATGTATGGTAGTTGAATGGTATAGAGAGGTCACTTGATCTGGGCTCCAGTTCCCCTTAGTAAGCTGCTTCTTGTTTATCTTGTAGTTATATAGGAGAAATTCATTGTTTTTATGTGTGTGTGTTATAGTTGTACTGTAATGCATAATATGTGATAAGTACATTTGTCACATGTTACAGGGAGTAAGAGGAAGGCTGGAAGTGTCACCAATGTAAAGGAATTTGAAAGGATTATATGTATGTGTTGATAGAGACGCATACACTGTAGTAAACAATGTACCGTGTATGATGAAGTCCCCATAACTGTTCACCATCATACCTCAACATGGCTCATGAATACCTGAGTTATTATCGTTTTTTATTATTATTTGTATTTTTTTTTAAACCAGATAATTTGATTCAAAAGACTGACTGACTGACTGACTGTTGCTCCATTCACTAGTGTTCACTCATCTGGACTATCCTCAGGTTAGATTAGGTTAGGTTATAGGCTAAGCTCACCTATCGTCAGGTTGAATTTGTGTAGATATGAGAGAATTTAATGCACATATATAAAGACTAGACTCTCGCTACGGAATAATAATGTCAATTAAATCACCCGTAAAAATCTAATGCCAAAGTCTCTGTTTTTTTCTCTAGGTGCTACATGAGAGGTGTGAGGTACTCCGGGCAAGAAGGAGATTAGGGACTTAGTGGACGAGATGTGTTTATTTATTATAATCTTCAAAACTTTCTTCGAATCTTTATTTTTATTGTATTTTATGTTCTTTTTTACTTTTGTTATTTGCCTACTTTTATTCTGTTTGTCAGAAAAGCCATAAATAGATTACATCATCACATTTGTCTATCTTCCAAAATTTCAATTAACTTTAGATTTTGGGGTAAATTTGGATTTATGCAAAACTTTTTAATATCCTGCTCTAAACATTTAACAAAATTAGTAATGTGTACAGTAATCATTTTTCCATCTTTGAGCGGGAATATTTTGTCGAGTTCTAAATGTTACATCGTACAGCAAAATGTTATAACTCAAAGCAGTAATGTCTAAAAATGGTTTATTTCACAGTAAAGTATAAACTGAGAACATTACATCTTAGAGCTGAGTGAACAAGATAGGCTTTTAACCCTTCCTTTTACCTGCTCTGATAATTTCCATCTAACATATAATAATACTGTGCTGTCATACCTCTACTGCACAAGCTCAGTCACATGGTAATGAGGGAATCACAGTCAAATCATTAGTAGTAGTTATCTTGGTTCAAAACTCCCCAGTCGTCCTTAATTAAGTCGGCAGCTTTCTCGGCGATCATAATGACGGGAGCGTTGGTGTTGCCCGAGACGAGGGCTGGCATGATGGAGGCGTCCACTACCCTGAGCCCTGACACACCACGCACCCTGCAAGACACCGGCGTTATCAATCAGTTTTATCTTTCCAGGTTTCTCTCTGGCGTCATTTTCATGTTTGTATTATTGTTCAATCACATTTGCAAACACCTGACCACAATGATATTCAATACAGTGAAGATTTGTGAATCATCATCATCACAGATTACATGAGTTAGGAGAAGAATATCTACCCTTGTTTGTCTGGATATTTATGAACCAGTTGGGTTTTACAATGTCACTGGTTATATATTACTATACTGTTTACATACTTGTTTACTAACCTAAGATGATAATCCACAACACCATAGGGATCACTGTCAGGGGCCATCTTGCAGGTGCCAACAGGGTGGAGGTAGCTGCGTGCCATATGAGTAACGTAACATTCCCAGTAGGTGTCACTACCATATGTCTCCCTCTCGCAGCCTGGCAAATGCTGTTTCACAAAATTAAAAGATAAACATAAGTGCATTCTTAATTTGAAAAGTTATTCTCATTTAAATAAGATAGCATTAGTCTTCCTATTCCTGTTGCACCTTAGTACACCAATTGGCTTAACCTGTAGGCCAGCACAGTAGTGAGAGTAGTCAGTAGATTTTCAGTAAAATGAGATCAGCACGCAGGAAGGGGTATGTACAGTATAGTATAGGTTTCAGTAGGAGACCATCAAGGAAATGTTACTGATGTGTTCATTGTTTCACAGACTTGGAAGGATATATAGTGTGAAGAGATAGATGAAAGTATAAGACTATTTATAATACTATACATGCATTACGTGTGTACCATAAGTGGCCCACAGTAAGATCCATTTTGTAAAGAATAGTGACAATAACTTGAACCTAGTCAAACAAAGATGGTTATTGAACAGCCTTGAACCTATATGATGCACCATAATTTGTTAACATACAACTTGGTGGGTTCAGTTTCCTTTTGTTATTTTTGTTACACAGTGAAACAATAATGAGCAGAAGTCATTTACCTTGTCATAAAACTTTGCTCCCAGGTCATGTGCAAGAGCTGAAGTGTTGCCAACTGCCAAAACAAACTTGATTCCTGTTGATTAGATTATTAATTTTAATGCTCAGAGACTGGCAATTAAAATCTTTAAGTATGTATTGTAAATATTGTCATAGTTTTTTGTTCTGATTTAGCCATTAATGGGCAGAAGTAAGATTTCAGAGTTAAATAAAAATCTCGTTGAATAGGAAGTGTGAAAAATGGAAGACGATTAGAATGTATGAAATGAGACAGTCAACAGTCTAACATTAAACAGTGTGTGAGAATGAGAGACAGCCTTACCATTAACCAGGGTCTTCAGGTCATCCCGATGACTAAGAAAGTTAGGGTCAATAACAGGAAGTTGCTGAGGGTCGCTGGACCTGAGAGTGAGGCTGCCACGACTCTTGGGCCTCATGATGTGACACTCCATAGTGAAGCCTTGTTTACCATACAAAGGTCTATAGTAATCTGTGAACTTCTGTTGAGAGAATTAGTTTGAAGATCGGGGTCTAATAAATGCTCTTAAATAAACATTTATGCATGTAATGTCCAATCTAAACCTAGTACCTGTAGCAGGGTCTTGCATTTAAGGGACCAGTTCAGAGGTGAAAAGTAGGTACTTTTCTGGGTGGTTTTGTTCGTTTTTTGAGTATGTGTGTTTACAAGAGACATTTAAAGAGTGTCTTGGGGGGGGGGGGGTTTCCAAAACTCATTTTCATATGAGGAGATGCCTTACGGGTTGGCAATATACTGTACTACCAACTAAGCACTGAAATCTGTTTTTAAGAATGAAATTGATGAATTAGTTGGTATTGATGAGAAAATAGAGATGTAACTACTAAGACAGCATAGGATAAATGTTGACCTCCTCAAAGTAAGAGTAAACTAGTTAGTACGACATTAGCAAAGACAGATTTTGAGGAGAGATGCGGGTAAATGGGTTCCCGCCCAAATAGGCCAAATGTGACCGAATAAATCAGGACGGGCCCCTTAAAGCTAATCATGATAACCAGGTTAGATTAGGGACAGTTAGAACTAGGACCTATTTATCCAGTTCAGGTGTAGGTCATTAGTGACAGGTAAAGATAGAAACGTGCTGGAAAACTAGTATAATAAATTAATTTGTATAACATTAATTTAGAGAGAGAACACTGATTTCATATATGTCAAGTTCAATTTACCTACTTTGTACAACTTACCCTGGGATCCATATTAGTTAGCTCTGGATTAAGAAACCCCCTGTCATAAAACATTGCAGGAGTTATTATGTGGCATTGCAAGTTGGGCCAATCGGGGTCTTCTTTAGATAAATCCCCTACAGCCACCCATGCACTCGTTTTTCCCCCTAATGGCTCGGTAAACGGTCCTGGGGGAATAAAATTTGACGTATCAAAACATCTCTAATAATAAACCACAGATTAAATAGTTATGCCCAAATATTTACATAGGAAGTACAATACAATACACAGTCAAGATATAATAGATAGTAAGGCCCCACGAGTCAGAGGCGACGTACCCGTTCTGGTATGGAGGTACTGAGCGAAGTAAGCCATGGGGTCAGGTTCTTTGAGGATTCCTGGAGGTACAGTCCATGTGAGACCAGCAACATTGAGATGGTCCTGAAGGTTCTGGCCTACACCTGGTAAGTCTGCCAATACCGGCACCTGTGACAACCCCAGAAACTCTTGTTACACCACATGTACAAAAGTAGGACATAATCAGTCTTGGTTTGAATTCTTTGAATAACAAGAGTATTCACTGAAAACAAAACCCACAAAGAGTCGTGCCAGTTACTCACCCGATGTTCCTTTAGGTGTTGTTTGGGTCCCACACCGGATAACATGAGGATCTTGGGTGATGCCAGAGTCCCGGCAGATAGTACCACTTCTCTGAGTGCCATCACTTTCATCAGCTGTTGAAGGTAATTTTTATTGTCTATAGTAAAGTAGAGAGAGATATGTGTACTTACACCTACTCTACAGTTACACATATACCATCCAGTCACAAAAATAGTCGCTGTTACTTAAAGGCTCAGTGAAACCATTCTAAGAGCACTATATTCCTTTATTTTCTAATCAATAAACTTTTTAGACTGATGCCACCACTATGTTTGCTATCCCAAAACCTTCCACTACATCTGGCATTCCCCTCACACCTGTCATTACACCTGCTTCTACCCAAACATTACCGACAAGTAAACAATGATAGCTATCTAAGATTTTGAAATCCAATAAAATCACATCACACATACCTTCCCTTTATGCATAAACTGTACACCTACAGCTCTCTTGTTCTGGTCCATCACAACCTGTAATGATATATGTACACAGTCATGAGTCAGCTGAAACCCTAACATCATTATATACTGTAGATCATTTCTGAGTGTTTATATCATTAATAATACAACTGTGAGTATTAATTGTTTGTATGTAAGTTGGATCATGCGGAATGCCGATATTACGGTAGTGCACAATGAAGATATCTGTACTTGATGTGAGGACTATTACAGGTAGTACAATACCAAGTTCTGTAGGTAAAAAAAAAGCATACAGTACTGTAAACATAAACTATAGTAATAAGTCTTGGACATACACAGTCTTTTAACCCCTCAAAGTATATCTGTATTACTGACTGGTGTTGTAACTCAAGGTGTATGATGTCTGTCCATACTCTGATTAGATATTTACTAGGTACGGTAAGTAAGATCACCATTCTGCCTCATTGTTGGACTGCTAATAGAGTAGTAAATGTGGAAATCTATTTGTGGGAAAACAGTATAATGGTTCAGTTAAAATAAAGTCCTGTAAATTTACCCACTCATAACATTAATGAAATCAGACCATTGATGATTTATTTCTCGTGTCTCAAGTCTGTCATTCAACACCACCATAACTCTGCTTTGGGTTTCAGTTTCAATTTGTATCCTTTCTTCTGCAGTTTCTCTAAATCCCACTTAATTTTATGCAGCTTTTTCCAGTTAATTTAAGTTTACCCTCATTGGGATAGTCTGCCCCCTGTGCATGCAAGGTCTTAGTTTGGGGTAGTAATCTAGTAACAAAACCCTTTAATTTCTCTTAAAATTTAGTCTTTTTGTACTGTATAGTCCACCACAGAGCAAGAAGTGATTTTTAGTTGTAAATAAGGAAATTCTGAGATAAAACACTATACAGTGCACAGGAAAATAACCGAACAAACATTACCTTATGAACGGTGGCGCTGTGCACAATATGTAGGTTGGGTCGAGTAGTTGCAGGTCTTAGGAAAGCTTCAGCTGTCGACCTTCTGATGCCATCAAGAATGGTATAATCTGCTGTTGCAAAACCTGGAATTTACTCGTAAAATTGTTTCACTTATATCTAATATGTTTTGCTATTCTATTATAAAAAGTAAAACATTTTTGTTCACTAGAAATTTGCATTTTCCCATATTGAGAACTCCTTTATGAGTTGTCCTTCCATTTCTTCTACCAAATTTTCTGTAGATTCCATTGTATGAGTATGTACTGTATTAACTTTACTATATTACTTAAGTGTAATCTAAACAAAGGATCTTCACCCTATAGAGTATATCCAACTTGTCCTGGGTTCAATTTCCACCTCGGGTCAGGTGTATGAAAGGTGTTTCTCTGGGTATTCAGCTTCCTTCTGCACTAACATAGGAAAATGAAGATTGTAACGAAGAACAGACCAGCTGCTTGAATGGAATATATATATATATATATATATATATATGTATATATATACTGTATATGTATATATGTATATATATGTATATGTATATATATATATGTATATGTATATATATATATATGTATATATGTATATATATATATACTGTATATATATATACTTAACCAATTTGATGTTTTCCGTTGGCATCGATGGTGTTGTACCCGAGCTGCTGGCCTGCACGGAGAAAGGCCTTAGTAAGAGTTGACAGTTTTTTGGTTGGAGTTACTGTTAGTGGACCTCCTCGACCGTGAAATATTTCTGTAGAAAACAAACAAAGGTGATTAGGAATTTATGGTGTGTTAAAGCAGGGTTGATTGAACACCTGTCAACTTATATACTGTACAGTATACCCCAAAATAACACCTTTGCTATGAAACATTGTCAGGTATTATAGTTATGGCAATAGATAGAATACTGTATATTTTTTAAGGTATACACTAAAGGTATGATAATTTCTCAATATACAGTGTATGAGCGTACTAATTTCCAGAATTCCAGCCATGATGAATTGTGCAGATGTACATATTCATGATGATGGAGCATAGCATCCAGATATTTCATAAATGAAAGTCATTGTGATAATTTTACCAAAGACTTAAGTTTCTGAAAGTAACAATCATTTTCAGCCTTGAAAGTAATGACAACTAACCACTATCCCCGTCTTGTGGCCCCCGATAGTCCTCAGACTTCTTGAAGTATGGCAGGACAGAGAGGTAGTCCCAGCCAGGGTTGCCCAGAGCAGCCCACCTGTCGTAATCCTGTCTGCTGCCTCGTTTGTACACCATTCCACTCGTACTTGACGACCCTCCTAGCATCCGACCTTGGAGAAGTCTCTCACTCTGTAGGTATACTAAACACTATTAAAACACTTTCATATATATATATATATATATATATATATATATATATATATATATATATATATATATATATATATATATATATATATATATATTGATAAAATCACACGGGAAAATGGAAACAACGGAGTACCTTAGCTTTCGTCTTTATTCAAGACATCTTCAGAGGCAACTGGATTACATGGACAGAGAGAGGCTTAAATATACAGGGTGGCCTAAAAACATGAGGTCAGGTCATAATGATGACATCCACTAATCCCCACACCAACACACACGTAGAGGAGCTTAAGAGAAGGGTGGTGACGTGACTAGACAGGTCAGGTCAGAAAAAAGGGACCCACAAAATAACTATCATACATCAGTAGTAGGACCACCATGTTGAGCTTTGAAAAGGAATGCGAGACGTTCCTATTGGGTCACATGATTGCGTCTTCAGTTTGTGTTGTGTAAGTTGTAACCGCTTCCGCTGGTTGGAACTTGTAGGTCAGTAAAAAGAACTCGGCTATTCTTGGCAGGTGGGCATAAATCACTGGAAATCACATGACTTACTCATGCCATTAACTTCATAATAGGTTATTGCATGGTGAAAAGGTCATAGGAAAACCAACTATTTCCCCAGTAATTTGGAAATAATTTCGCTGCGCTAGATTTGTGGATGATTGTGGAATCCGTGAACCTAATAATTGGTAAGAACTTTTCATGTGCTTGAATGACTGGCAAATACTATTCAGTGTCGGAAAGTGAAAGACGCTTCCTGTAAGGCATAGTAATCAAAAGACAAGTTCTCCGCTGATAATATTTGGCTGGCATCTGTCAATGTATATTAGGTAGTTTCTCGGTATTATGAAATTTCTAAAAGTAATTACTGTATAATAAAAGTGAATTTGCTTACCTTCTACTTGAGAAAGTCTAGCTTATGCTATTTTTAACTTTGTTTTAAGAATAATAATGATGATATGCAAGAGTTTGGCTTTAAAAAGTTGTATTATGTAACCAAGACTAACGAATGTAGTGTTGGTTTGGTAAGGTAAATTATGTGACTCGTTATTCCAGTAACTTAAAAGCACCGTGTTGGTGTATATTTTAAGATTATCTCTCCGCTTCATGTACACAATTTTGATTACGGTTCTGTATTCCGTTATTTAAATAATACTAATGTTTATTATAACCTGACCCTCAAATTTCGAATTTACAGAATGAAATCACAACACCTTGGCGCTAAAGAAACGAATTACCAGTGTCACTTACCCTCCCGACGAAATTTTTATGTGAGTGTCTCTGTGGAGTGATGTGATACTGCCAGCCCAGGTCGTTAGGGAGGTAGAAAGCCAAGGAGAGGGCAGGAACGTAACTCTCCAAAGTCGGGGGGCCCCCAGCCTCCAGCAGTAGTACCCGCCAGTTGTTTACTTCAGAGAGACGGGCAGCCACTACACTACCTCCTGACCCACTGCCCACTGTGACACCGAAGGACAGGTATGAATGAATTACCTGCGTCACGTACTCCTTCAGATTAACCCTCAAGTAAATTAATCTCAGGGCTAATCTTCAGGTGATCCAAAGCAACTTTACTGTGGTAATTTGGTTTGTGATTGATGCTGTTCTGTAATGTTTCAAGTGGTGTTATTTGTCTTGGTAGCTGGTTTATTTTTAATATTAATAAGAAAAACTGAGAAAAACAAATTAGTAAATGAAAACCAATGTAGTTGTATAAGAGAGGTTAGGAAGGCACAACTTACCTACAATGAAGTCATAATATGGGGAGATGGTTGTAGTGAAATGGAAGGATCTGTAGCCAGCCTGCCTTACCACGCCCACCAGCAACACACGTACCAGCGGCATCACCAGCACACTTAACCACCGTCCCACTGACAACATTTTCAATCACCGCCTGGGAATAGTCACACGTATTTTAAATCTTCCTTCTTCACTCTTGACTTGTCTCGGTCCTATATTTTTTTTAAGTAATATTTATTTTCGTTTCAGTTGTTTCACTCATTAAGATGTAAGCAACTTTATTTGTTCTTAATTTAACAAACGTTTTATCTGGGGACTTTCGGGTCTGGCTCGGTCACGTTTCTCTGCCGGGTAACGAGCTTCAAGGGCATTATATTGTATTACTTAACGTGCAAGTTTCTCTTTCTATTTTTTTTATTACTGTTACAACTTTCACAGATATGTTTATAGTTGACAAATAAATGGATATCTGAATAATAATAATAATAATATACAGGAATTAGTGGACTAAATCAAAACAGTTCAGAATAACAAAATACGATCGAAGAAGAACTAGAGAACAGACGATAGGATTAATGCATAGAATAATAACGATAACTGCATTAAACGATCCAGACACTACACAGTCGAACTGAATATAAGAGTTGAGGCAGTGTAGAACAAAGGTAAAACAACATTCTTACTATATAACACTCGAGGCTAGGTCACAACCATAGAACAGCCAGTAACACGTTAAATTAGACAAAAGTTCACAACATTTCACAATAATACAATTTTTGAACGCGATATGGCGGAGAACAGCAGAGTCCAAATAGAAAATCTTAAACTACGGAAAATCACATCCAGGTTTTGTAAAGGAGGAACCTAACACTTCCGACTAGTACCTAAATGAACACTGACAGGACTCAAAACCTGCAGACGAGGAAGCACTACACTTTTGAACACAACGCAACTCTGAAAAGCGGGTAAATGCTTCGTATAGAAGAAACTGGTACCTTTCCACAGCGATAAGTACCTTCATCAACAATACTGATATGACGCCGAATAGAACTGTTAAATCTGTAGAATGGAAACCGCAAATACAAAAACACAACATGATAAACTGATAGCGTACATGATCGTGAAGATGTTTACACTTTCCACAGCGACAAGTACCTACAATGACGCGACAGAAAATATTGCACATTACAGAGGAGAAAAAATACACACATTACAGACTACATCACGATACAGCCATGTGCTTCGTGAAGAGAGACGGACACTACGCTAAGCTCACCAGCGACAATAACCCACAACACCACAGGCAACACTGAAACATTCCCACTCCTGGTCTATCGTTGGCAACACAGCGAGAACGCATCCACCTTGACCTCCTGCCCAGGGCACCTGACGAGGTCACCACAACACAACCCAACCCAGGTAACATGGGCTAAATTTACCATGTCAGTTGTCATCACATCAAATACAGTATCTTGAGTTGATATTTTAAGCTTTAGGATATGAGAAAATAAATATACTGTACAAAATAGGATGAACTGAGAATTGTGCAACATTGAAACGGCAGCAAAATGAACTAGTCATCAGCCAGAGAATTTAGAGGATATTGATACTGCAACAAAGACTAATTACAGGGCTGGGCTTCTTATAGTCACTCGTAGGACGAATTTTAATATAAAATACTACATACGCTATAAAAAGTTTGTCATAATATGACTCATAATCGGCGCAGCACTATTAGGATGTGTTGAACCTGATGACAAATCCACAAGGAGGTGCTAAGGCGACAACTGTGTTAGGCGTACGGTAAATATGGGTTAGTACTTTCACCTTCATGACATTCGCGTTATTTCACCTGCCTGTATATATTCTCGTATATATTTACTTCGAATTTTACACCCGAATGAGTGACGCTTCATTGGTATTCTTATTGTTATGGATCCAATACAGTTGCTTGCATACTTTATTAATGTCATTTCGTCTATGTTTTCACAGTAACCTATTTTTTTTACAATACCGCATAATATTGTAGTTATTATTCCTTATTCACAGTAGACTTGTTGCTCTTCAGTATTCTGGTCTTCCCGTCGTATGCAGTGTTTATTGTTATCTTGCCTTCATTTACTATTTTCATTCCTCTTTTATACCTATACTTATATATTTGTTCTTAAGTTTTAATCGTTAATGACTATCATATTTCCTAAACTTAAAAGACCTTGAACCTTATACATTTTAAGTTCAATATCAACAACTTCAACTTGCTTTTCACTTTGGGTATCTGTGTCTCATTCTGAACTATTTTTTTTTGTGTGTGTATCTAATTTCCTGCCACTGGTCAGTCTGTCTTGTCCATTTTTTTATATATTTATATTACCGTATACCCTTGACCATTCCTGCTGCCTGAACAGCGAGTCATCTAAACCTCTAGTCTGATAAGTTTAGGGTAAGCTGTGTTAAAGACTAGATTAAGTTTGGTTAAATTAGGTCAGTTGATTGAAAATGTCCAAAGGAGAGCCACCAAGCCACCTCAGCAACCCTGAGAGATTATTGCTTAGCTTATACTACAGACGGGCAAGGGGGGACCTAATTGAGGTATATAAACATCTCAAGGGGCACTACTCAGTCGACCATACCTGGAGTTGGCGGACTCTCGCCCCACAAAGGGTCACAGCTCAAGGTTGAAGAAACCCCAAGTCCAGAAAACTGCGAGGGGTAACTTTTTCGGAGTGAGAGTTGTGGCGGCACCGAGTGTGAGCTCTTTCAAGACCATACTTGGTTCAAGTATATTCAGGAGCCAGGTCATGGCCTGTACTTGCCAACAGTAACAGACGTGACCGATCGCCCAGGCGGCTAACGAGCCGATCAGTGGTGAGAAGGTTAGATTCAGTTAAATTAGGGCTAGGTTAGATTCAGTTAAATTGGGGCTAGGTTAGTGTAAATTGAATATACAGGTAACGCGGTTAGTATGTTAAGATGAAGATTTGTGTGAATGTGAAAAAAGTCAGTTATGTCTTAATAACCTTCAACAACTAAGGTCTAAACATTCAGTAAGTCACTGTACACAACAAGAATCCAAACTTTACTGACCATTTTACTTCTCTCTACATCTAGTAATAGAGAGAGCAAAAACTTAATGGTATACTTGAGAGAACTTGATTATCGGCCCAACAGTGAAAGTGTCGAGTGGCTGCTTCTGGCGGCCTTGAAAGGTTTTAAGTACGTTTTGAGTGCGATGACGTAATCGCTGCAGTACGATGGCAACTGTAAAGTTTAATGTTATTCGTGGGTGCAGGTTAAATGTACACAAATTCTTGGTAATATTCTTCAACCTTACCTATTATGATTAGTTGCTGTAATAATAGTAATCGTAGTTGTATTGTTTCCAGTGTCATAATTTCTTCCTATTACTCACATATTTCTCAAACAACTTAAACTGCACCTTTTTGTGATATTGTATACGTAGATTAATTGTGAACAGTAAGTCAGTATATTTGCCTTTGTCTTCGAAGAGCCAACAGCAAGGCTATAATGAACAGTGAGATTCGCTGAAATATGAAGTGAAATTTGGGGAAGTTTTCGTCCTTTGTTGTTGCTTTTTATAATGTTTGTTACATCAGAACGTCTGCACTTACTTAAATCTAGTATAGACGGACAAGGGGTGATTTAGAAGAAGTTAAGCACCGCAGAAAACATCAACTACTTACTTTTGAACTCTTGGAATAACCTGCCATCGTCCTAGCTAGTATTAATGTAAAGAAAACGTATTCGGCAAAGTAACCATAGAAAAACGTGATAACTTTAGGGCTAACTATACCAAATCTTTATATCCTTTGATTGTTGTTACTTTATTTACTCTTTTCATCTCGTTATTTTTTTCAGTTTACAGGTAATCGAACTGTCGCTAATTCCTAATTTGTTCACCGATTATAATATGGCGTTAGGAACAAATTTCAAGGTGAGGAACTAAGTTTTATTTATTATTTTATATTATTTGCGTAATACTAACTATACCCAAGGAACATTTATTGTATTTACAAATCAATTTCACATGTTGACATAAACTCACTTTCAGTTTCCATTCAACGATGGATAACTGTCTGTACACAAAAAAGGTGATTATAATCTTTTAATGAAATAACCTGGGGTGCCTGATCTTCAAGTGCTCCTGTTAATTTACGTTGTATTTTCTTCAACACGAATTTAAAGCCTAATTACTTCTCTATAATTAAAGCTTAATATCCCAAGGTTAAAAATTACACTAACACCTCTCGCCTTTTCGTGTCACCAAATCGTGAAAATTTCAAGCCAACCAACTTTTGAGAATTTATCACTTAGTTATACATACGAAATTAGATGCGGCTACTTAACCGTGTATTTCCGGCCGGTCAGACTACTTCACCGGGAAACCAGTCTTGACGAGCTCAGCGATCGTTTATTCGGCTAATTCGTGTGCCGTTCTAGCATTTCACGGTAAGTATATATTTCTTATTGTGAAAACAATGTATTGCAAGAATTCATATAATTTAAGTTATCGTCAATGTGAATGTGGAAGAATTAGTTTCCTGTCGGTGGGTTATTTTTTCTGTCATAAGAATTTAAATCTACAAAAGAGTCTGACATATTCAGAGTAACAATATTAAAGGCAATTAAAAGTACTGTTGTCTTTGTATTATTTATTTACAATACATAAAGTCCCCTTAATCAGCCCCTAAACCACGACACAGCCCCGTGTAGTGGGGCGTGGCACATAAGTGTCGGGGGGTCTCGCAAGGTTAACTTAAACCCTACACCGAGACGCTCTAAGCGGTCATTTATGAGTCGTCTCAACATAAATGAACTGGCGTAGTGTTCTTTTATCCTTTCTTGGAACATCATGCAGTCACTTTCATCCTCGTATTTGAGAAGGAGGCCCATGGTGATACAAATTACAAATAGTATGATTAGGGTGTAAAGACAACAACGGACTACACCCCAGCGCCGGCGTGGCACAGTGGTGGTAGAGCCCGTTGAGTCGCCCTCACCCGTGTTGTCTACTTTGTGGTCGTCCTTCACTTGCTCGTCAGTGGAAGTTGTATAGAGGGTCAACCTTTCCAAAACCTCTTCCATTGAAGGGCGATGGTGGGCCTCGGGGTTAATCATGCTAAAGGCGATTTCGTACAACACAGAGGGCAAGTGCCGTCGTTCAACTAGGAACCAATCGATCAACTTACCCACTGCATATACATCCGCGGACGCTTCAGCTGTGACGCCAGAGTGAAAGAGTTCTGGGGCATGGAACTCATTAATGGACGAATGTTTTAATTGTGGAGTGCCAATTTTTAAGGAGTTACCGAAGTCAATCATATGGACCTCGATGTCCCCATTTTCATTTTCCTCCACATACAAGTTGTTTCCCTTGATATCCCCATGAAGAAAACCAGCCTGGTGAATTTCGTTTAAACTCTTGAAGAGAGCGATAAGACTTCCAATGAACTGGTCCTGGGAGCATTGTTTGGCATACTCCATGAACAGTTGACCCCGTGTATACGTCATTACGTATGCCGGGAAATCCTTACATTGGTAAAGAACTAGCGGGGCGCCTCCAGCACCGTTTAACTCCATAAGGACTTTTTGCTCGTCCAGCAAGGAAGTAAATTCATCCTTGGCCCTTTTACAACACACCAGTAAACCGTCTAATTCAAACAAATGGACAATCCCGACCTCTCCCTCCCCGAGAAAATGTCGCACCCTACTTTGCTTTATTATTTCGCATAACTCATCTTGAGTTACTATTATGGGTGGACTCGTTTTTGAGCTTGCGGAAAAACAATTTGAAAATAGAGAAAACATTTTTGAGTGTTTAGAACAGTAATTACTTTAGCTTGTTGACTTGCACACAGGTATAACTCTGAGATCCGGCAACAAAAACTTAAACAGGTTGGAATGTTGACGTCAAATGGTGTAACTCATTATAGAAGGGAGAAATAGTATTGGTGTTGTAGTGAACATGTAGTACTGTAATAGTGTTGTAGTAAAGGTTTGTACTGTAGTGTTGTAGTGACCATAAAGTACTAGTGTTATAGTGAACATGAATACTAGTGTTGTAGTGAACATGTAGTACTGTATTGGTGCTGAAGTAAATGTTTGTACTGTAGTGCCCATGTAGTGCTGGTGTTGTAGTGAGCTTGTAGTACTGTAATGGTGCTGTAGTAAAGATTTGTATTGTAGTGACCATAAAGGACTAGTGTTGTAGTGAACATGTAGTACTAGTGTTGTAGTGAACATGTAGTACTAGTATTGTAGTGAACATGTGGTACTGTATTGGTG